CTCTGAGCCCCTCCCTTCCTCAGCCTGACGGGACCATTTCTCCAGACCCTTAAACTTGACTAGACCATCCTCTTCATTTCCATGCCCGCCTGCCCTACCCCACAAGCCCATTCTCTGTGATAAGCACCCCATCTCTGCCTGAGTGGCGGCTGCAGGAGGCCCGGGCTCTCCTCGCCTTCATCGGTGCAGCAGGCCTGGAATCAGTGATGGGAGGAGGAACCATGCCTGGCACTCAGTGCGTGCTCCACGCCATGAGCCCCTGGCTGCTCCTGCAGCAGGCTTGAGCCCCACAGCTCTGGAGGTCAGCAGTCAAGGCCTCCCGGGCCTCCTGCGTCCTGCAGACTTGGGGAGGAGCCCTCCTCTGACTCCCCCAGCTCTGACAGTACGATGAGCCTTGCCTCTTCCATGAACCCTGAGGTGGTTGGTCCCCATATCCAGTCCTGCGTCTGTGCAGGGCCCCGGGGAACCACTTCCAGCTTCCTCCTCCAGTACGCTTCTCAGACAACCCGTGTGACACAGCCACGTGACCAGGCTAACGCTGGGCCCCAGGAAGGAGGGAGACAACATGGAAGCCAGGATCCAGACCCAGGTCAGGGGCCTCTACTCCCATTGTCACTCATTCTGTGGTCACACCCAGCTAGCCCACCCCCACCCCAGGAATCCTGGCTGGCTGTGTCCCAGCCTGCCCCAGGCACCACCCACAGCTGCTGGGACCAGTGTGAGCAGCCTCCTGATTTGTCCCCCGCTTTGGCCGCATTGCAGGTAGCTTGCGTGAGGCCTCCCACTGCCCTTGGGCTCCGCTACAGGAGTGGTGGCCTGTGTCATGCCCTCAGTTGCCCCATCACTCAGGACAGTCCCTGCACTGACCGGCTCTGGGTGTACACACAGCAACTCCCCCTGCCAAGCACTCCTGTCCTCCAGCTCTGAGTCACCTGATCCCCTGAAGAGGACTGGAGTAGGAATAAGCCCAGGGTTCCAGAGGATGCCCTGTGCTGAAGCCCCGCCTCCTGCAGTGTCCAGCTGAGAGCTTGGCCGTGAACCTGGGCAGGTGGCCCCTTGCAGGGCGGGGAGGTGTGACACAGCCCTGAACATTCTCAGTCACTTCTGGGAGCAGTTTGGCTCTTGTGGCCTTGAGGGGATGCAGTGGGGATTCCGGGAACTGTCTCCTCCTCCCCGCTCTCCCAGAAGGGACCATTAACAGTGCAGTATGTGGAGCTGACCCTGCGCTGTCTGGGGCTCTGTTGAGCTGACAGTCCCCTACCTGACCCTTGTGTAGTATGTCATCTCCAGCTGCCTATAGGAAAACTGAGGCCCAAGGCACCCTAAGCCACTTTCCCAGGCAACGTCATAGTCAGGATTTGACCTTGATCTTAAGGTTCCCCTTATTACACATCCTGGAAGTGATCAAGCAAGAGGAAGGCTGACTCCCTAGGGAGCCCTAGGGCGCCTCCATACCTGCCAGCTAGAACACTGGGGATGTCGGCTAAGCTGCCCTGGAGATCCACCTGGGGGGGCCCTTCCCCCATGCTTCACCCTGGGGCAGTACCATCACCCGTACCTCAGTTTCCCCATCTGTGCAACAGAGATACAAAGCACTTGCCTCCCATCACGGCGGTGGAAGTCACATGGCTGGGAGGCTTCCATTGCAGCACTGGGTTGGGAGTCAGTGAACCTGCCTATCTCCAGGTAAGCCCTCTGTGTGGTCTCAGGGTCCCAGGGTGAGTTGTCTCAGAGGAAGGAGCCTGAACACCATTTCTCTCGGGGCCAGTGACAGCATGTGGGGTCACCCTCTGCTCCCAGACTTCATAGAGCATCACTGTGAGCTGGCTGGCCCCAGGACACCTGAGCCCTGGTGAGCACTTGGCTCTCGGGGTGGCTGCAGTAGCCATGGCCTCTCCTTGTTCACCTCCCACATGCCTACACTCCAGACTCTATAAACTGCGGCAACTGTGTAGAGCCACATGGCCAGCGGGGGCCAGGGCTGTTCCCACCCTGACTCATACCGCCTCTCCCTCCCGGTCTTGTATCCATTTGTGTAAGATGTGTAGAGGATCAAACCCAGAGTCTGGAACCTGCTGGACAAGGGCTCTGCTGCTGCTGAAACACCTTCATTCAGCCTTTTGCCTCCTGTAGCCAGGTTCTGACGTAGCCCAGGCTGGCCTTGAACAGGGTCTGATATAGCCCAGGCTAGCCTTATCTTCCTGACTCCATCTCCAGACTGCTAGGATTAGAGGTATGTGCCATCACTCCTGGTTTATGGGGAATCAATGTTGAAACCCTGGGCTCCATGCACTGGAGGCTAGCATTATTACCAACTGAGCCACATCCCCAGGTTTCCTTTTACTAAGTCTCCCTGGTGGGCCTTGAACTCAAAATCCTTCTGCCCACCTCCAGAGAGGCTGAGTTGGCAGTCCTTATCACCAGGTCCAGCTCAGTGCCTTCCTTTGAATCTCCCCACTAATGCCTCCTGGGAAATGAGAACTGAGCAACCCACATTCCTTCCACCTCTCGGAGGCCAGACTCCCAGGGCAGGACACACAGGTCAGCCAGGAGCTCCTCAAGGAGGGGCAACGGGCTGTCCCTGGTCTCTGAGCAGCAGGTGACAGGCACCCTTTCCTGCTCTGGAGTGGTCCTTTGACCTGGCCTTCTGGACCCCTGGGCCACAATCTGGAACTTCCCCGCCCCCATGGCCTCCTCTGCCTGTGTCCTGCCATGTTTACCTAACTTCCCTGACCCCTGCAAACGCCCAGTGCCTTTTTTCTTCCTTCCTCAAAAACCAGGCCACAATAGAAAGCAATTCCTTGAACTTATTAAAAAATCTAGACTTGTAAATTAATTTGTTCGTGTTGTACAAAGGCAGTGCAGATGGGCTCGTTAGCATGCACACAACAAATAATTAGAGATGAATTTTTAGCCGGCCTGCCTAATGCGCTTGCTGGGTTAATTATGTCAATGTATAATTACACCAGCCCGGGGAGGCATAATGGTACACCCCGCTGAGCAGGCCCGGCCTAATGACAGGCGTTGGGGGGGGGGCTGACAGAGGAAAGCCACTGCCAAGTCCCTCACACCTGCTCACCTCAGTGCATGCATTGTCCAGCCTTCCACCGCCTCAACAAACAGGAGACCAAGAGTAAATCAAGGAGCCACCTTGTTCCAGCCAGACCGGAAGGCATGGTGCTTGTCTAGACTGTCAGGCTTCAGCCAGGTTCGGGGAGAAGGGAAAAGCAAGAGTGGACGTGATCCCAGCACCCTTTGCTGGCATCTGCCCACCAAGGGGTAGTGAGGTGGGCTTGCAGAGGGATGAGAGTGGCTGTGGTGGGACCTTTGAAGGGCACACAGGTCGGTTTTGGTATTAGAGGATGGACTCAATGTGGAGGGCTCCCTGGAAGAGGTGACATGGGCTGCTGGAAGGGGAGGATGGGACGTCATGGGGAAGTCATGGGGTTTTTGTGTCTGCGGTGACCATTTGCTCTGTTCCTCATCACACAACCCGCCTGGGTGCTGCCCTCTGTGGTGAGGCACAGAAGGGGACAGCCCCTTGTCCACGTTGCACGGCAATCCTGAGAATCAGGCTGGGTGAGAAGGTGGGGAAGGGGTTGCAGGGGATGAGAAGGACCTAGGGCCTCAGGTCCTGTGAGCCGTGCATGCTCCTGCTGAGGCTGTGATTGCCCACACCCAGACCCGCCACGTTCCTGAGATCCCATCAGAGCCCCTGACCGCGGTGTCACAGCCCCTGACCCCACAGCCTCAGTTGCCTGCTTGTTTGTCTGGTTTTTTCTCATATGACAATGGCTTGGGTCCAAGCCAGCCACAGGGAGGGCTGAGGTTGCCATGCCTGTGCTGGGGTCTGTCACACACAAGGGGTCTTTCCCCTCTGGAGTGTGTTGGGCGTGATGTCAAGGCCTACATCGGTGTGTGTGTGTGTGTGTGTGTGTGTGTGTGTGTTCTTCTACCTAGTTGGCACATGTCGTAGCGCATAGTGTGCCCACCCATGAGTGAGAACTTTACTGGAAATAGGGAGGGAGGGCTTCCAGGAAGAATGGACGAGCCACAGAACTGATGGTCGGTTTGACAACAAGGAGCTGGGAAGGTAGAAACCAGTTGTCCCCATGCTGGGGCGTCCTCGCTCAGACGGGCCCACTCCGCAGTTCCCAGTTCCGCTGCCTCCTGTAATCACTGCTGGTGGGGGCGGGGGCCCTTTGTGACTCTGTCCATAATAGTAGAATGCTTACATGCATGGTAGAGGGAGCTTCCCCGAACATACGAGTATCCTAGAAGACTTGGAGGGGGCCTCCCACCCTTAGACACACATGGCAACAGTCAGGCGTGGTGCTGGAGAAGGAGCTGAGAACTTTACACTCTCATCCAAGGGCAGCAGGCAGAGAATAAGACAGAGCCTGGCAACTGCGTGTGGTGTCATGCTCCTTTAATCCCAGGCACTTGGGAGGCAGAGGAAGTCAGATCTCTGTGAGTTTGAGACCAGCCTGGTCTACAGAGTAAATTCCAGGACAACCAGGAATACATAACAATGCCCCATATCAAAACAAAACAAAAATAATAAGTAAATAAATAAAAGGGTTGGGCCTGACATGGGCTTTTGAGACCTCAAAGTCCATGCCCATTGACAAACCTCAAGGCCACACCTCCTGATCCTCCCCAAGCAGTTCCACTAACTGGGAATCATGTGTTTAAACTTACGGGCTGTGAGGGCCTTTCTCATTCAGATCATACGCTGCTCTCCCAGAGGTCCCAAGTTAGCTTCCCAGCACCTGTAACTCTAGCTCTGGGGCATCTGACACCTCAAGCCACCCACACTCATGTGCACATAACCCCCACCACAAGCAACTTAAAAATATGTTTTTAATCTTTAAAATGACTCTGTTTTCCATGGCCATGAGAGTGACCCCGAGTGGCCCTTACGTACTTTCCCCCAGCTTTCGTGGAAGGTGAGGTTGACACCTGAACCCCATCTCCTCCCTTTCTGTCTCTCCTTGCAGACGCTGTTCCTTCATTTGAGGTGGCGCGGACTCTAGACGACAGACTGCAGCGCCCCAGCTTTGACCCCAGTGGGCAGTGCCTACAAGACGTGCACATCTCGTGGAAGAGGTGCCCGGAGCCACCCAGCGTCAGAGGTACTGACGATGCCACCATGGAACCACGGTGGCACAAACCTGGATGGTGGAGTTTCAGCCAACCCTGAGCACACTTGGGGGTTGTGGGGCGGGAGATGGGCTCCGCTGCCTCGAGTGACAGTGGGTTATGGTGGCAGGGCTGCGGAATCTAAGCTCCCAGGCCCTATCACCTTGTACACATGGCATCCAGTCAGAGCAGTGCTGACCACCATGCGGGAGCATTCCAGCCCTCAGGAGGCCAAGACCAAAGACCAGCCTGAGCTACGCAGACCCTGTCTCAAACAAAACAAAACTGTAAACTGATGCCATGACCACTCCATGATATGGTTAAGGGGAAGTTGCTATTGTAGATATGAGAGAGAGACTAGCCAGAGTCGTCTGGAAGAGTCGGGAGCAGAGAGAGAATGTAGTAGACTGAACACGGCCAGCAGACTGGACCAGGCCATGAGAGAAGCAGAGCATAGGAGAGGGAGACAGAGACAATGAGGAGGGAGGGAGAGACAGAGAGGGCGGAGAGGGAGAGAGAGGGGGGATGGAGCAGGAGAGAGAGCCTGAGCAGGCATTGCTGGGGGAGTTTAGGGTAGGGAGCGGGTGAGAAGGGCTACAATGCCAGCATGCGCTGTGAAATGTGTAACAGGCTCTGTGAACTGTGGGAGCTGGCAGAAGGGACAAACGGCTGTCTGCAGTGCCAGTGATAAAGGAAATAGCTTCTTTTGGTAGAAGGGAAACCAGCTTTGCAAGTTCCCAAGAATGCTGGGTTTTGTCTAACCCCAGAATCTGGGGGAAATGGAATTTCTTTTGGACCCGACACACACACACACACACACACACACACACACACACACCCACCCAAAAGCACACAAACAGATAATATCATGAACATCAGTCAGGAATAGTTAAGGTAAGAGCTCTCATGTATATTTCAGCACAGTTTTAAAAATAATAGAGAAGACAGAGGGGCATGGGTGATCAGAAGGGGCCCTGGGTGTGCTGTCTAAGGCGGGAACTTTGGGAAGTGACTTTGGGTTCTAGTTAGGGTCACTTTTGCTGTGATGAAACCCCATAACCATAAGCAAGTTGGGGAGGGAAGGGTTTATATGGCTGACTCTTCTTCATCTTAGCCCATCACTGAAGGAAGTCAGGACAGGAACTCCAGCAGGGCAGGAGCCTGGAGCCAGGGGTGATGCAGAGGCCATGGAGGGTGCTGCTCATTGGCTCGCTGTCCATGGCTTGCTCAGTTTGCTTTTTTATAGAAACCAGGACCACCAGCCCAGGTATGGCCCTGCCCACAGTGGGCTGGGCCCTCCCCTGTCAATCACTAATTAAGAAAATGCCCTATTGGTCTACAACCCTCTATTTTGGAAGTATTTTATTAATTTAGGCTCCCTCCTCTCAGATGACTCTAGCCAGCATCAAGTTGACAAAAACAGCCAGCACACTTTGTGAGCATGCCAGCCCCCACCCCAGTTCTCTAACGATAAATTGAGGGACTGACCCCATGAGTCCATGCCGACTGTGGGAAGCTTCCGTGACTGCAGCTGAGTGATGAGCGTGGTACTCCCTGTCTTCCGCAGAGCAGAACGAGGGGACGTGTCCCACCGGGCACACGCCAGCCAACGGCAGCCACCTGCCAGGTCCCCAGCACAACCTCCTGACAGACACCTTGCTGCAGAAGGATGAGGCCGAGAGACAGAAGTGAGGAGGGAGGGAGGGAGGGAGGGAGGGAGGGAGGGAGGGAGGGAGGGAGGGAGGGAGGGAGGGAGGGAGGGAGGGCGGGCCACCCAGAAAGTCCACCTGGGGCCATCGAGGGCAGGTGGGAGATGGGGAAGGATGGGGGATCCTGAGGCTGGGCCTAGGACTCTTATCTCACTCACTCTTCAAGCCTCAGTTACCCTGTCTGGGGAATGGGCTGGTCTGAGTACATTCATCGGTTTGATTGAGGAAGAGATAGCAGGGTTTTTGTGTGTCTCTCTCTCTCTCTCTCTCTCTCTCTCTCTCTCACACACACACACACACACACACACACACACACACACACACACACACACACGACCGGTATCTGGGGCTTTGGTTACATGGTCACAGGGTTCTTCTCAGTTGTCCGGTACCAGAACCCAGGTGCAGCCCTGCTCTCTGGGATCAGCGTTGCTTTCCTCACCTTGCTCTTAAAACCATCAACAGGTTAGACGAGGCCTGCCAGCCTCGGCTAGGGCCTTCTCCTTGATGTAACATCAGCGGGCCGGACGGTAGACAACAGTCTCACCCAGGCAGTCTGCCAGCGCCTAAGCTGGCACATAGTTGAGCTGGCCAGGAGGAAGAAGTAAAGACAAGTCCCGTGGATAAAATGGTGAAGGGAAGTCCAGCAAGAGGGAGAGATAAGATGGGATGGTCTTTCTAGGGCACTAGAAAGTTCTCGGTGAGACTCCTGCAGGTGAAGATGGGAAGGACGCGACAGGCCAAGGGGACAGCCGGGGTGAAGGCTCTGGGGTAGGAGCCTGCCTGGAGCAGGAGGGAGTCCTGAGTTCAAGCGCTCCTTCCCAGCTAGGAGAGAGGCAGTGGCTGGCATTGGCCCAGCTCTCTCTGCAGGACCTTCCTCCAATCCCGCTGGGGCCTCCTTCTCCGCTGCCAGAGCCAGGTCCCACCTAAGAGAGGCTTCAATGAGCTGGCTGAACATCCGATCTCGGGCCACAGGCAGCAGAGTGACCCCATGGAACAGTAAAACCAGGAAGGCTGAGGCTTACACTGCCGGCCCCACGACAGCCCCTGTGATGGAACCCGTCAGGAGCTCTGTTTTATAAATAAGTGCAGGCAGTTTTCCCATCCCGGGAGCGGCTTTCAAGTTACCACGTGGAGGCTTACATTAATTGTAACTACTCGGCCAATAGTTCAGGCTTGCTACTAGCTAGCTCTTATATTTTAAGTTAACCCATATTCCTTATTTATACTCTGCTACGTGGTGGTACCTTTATTAGCATGGCACATTCATCTCCTGCTCCCTCTGTGCCTGGCTGGCGACTCCTGACTGCACCCACCCTTCCTCAGCCCATCATTATCAGCCTGGCTTTCCCGCCTGACTTTAGCCTGTTCAGCTATTGGCAAGTCAGCTTGTTTATTAAACCTATCATAGCGACATACATTCACAGAGTGTAAAGGGATATTCCACAGCTGATGGGGAAACCGAGGCCCATCGTGTCGGTGCCAGCCACAGGGGAGTGGAGCGGAGCAGGGTTGTGGGAGTGGTAAATGCACCAGGTCTGAATTCTTCGCAGAACGAGGTGCAGACAGTGGAGAGAGCCTAGCTCAGGGTGGGACCAGCTCGGTGTCTGCAACCAACCATGTCTCTGCAGGGGCCTCCAAGAAGTCCACGTCACCTTGGCAGCCAGGCTGGGGGAGGCAGAGGAGAAAATCAAGGTGTTACATTCAGGTATGACCCTGCTCAGGTGGCAACCCTCAGACCAGGTGGCTGGAAGCAGTGTCAAGCCATGAACTTGGGGAGCTGGGCCGGGTGTGCCTAGAGATGGAAAACCAGCCACAAACAGAACGTAAAGGACAACTCGTTCAGCAGGGGCCAGTCCAAAGTAGAGCTTGGTGGAACCAAATGGGTGACTCTTCACCAGTGGCAGAGATGGTGTCTGGGGCACCTTGTGTAAACAGGTTGCCAGGAAGGTGGCTTCTGCCCTGGGCCACCGGGCAGGGTCTGGTGGCCCAGAGTGAGTACCCTACCCTTTAGATTTCTGGCTGTAACTAGTAGGAAGCTGAGACAGGAGGTTTAAGGTTAGACTGAGCTACATAGTGAGTTCTAAACCAGCCTTAGACATACTGTGAAACTCTGTCCCTAAAAACCAAAGCAAAGAAAAACAAGAACAAAACAAAACAAAAAACCCTGGGATTTTTCTGTAAGTCTCTCAGTGTTGGTTACAGACTGGAGCTCTGGCTTTGCCTCGGGGTTGGTTGAGTGGCCCTGCCCAGGCCTGCAGGGCAGTAGACAGCCTCACTACGCCCCGGACTGCTCTCTGAATCTCTCAGGCTGTAACACAGTGACTGTCAACCTTCCTAACGTGTGATCCTTTAATACAGTTTCTCATGTTGTGGTGACCCCCGACCATAAGATTATTTTCATTGTTACTTGACAGCTGTAATTTTGCTACATGTAATGAATCATAATGTAATTATCTGATATGCAACCCCTGTGAAAGGGTCATTTGACCCACAAAGGGGTTGTGACCCACAGGTTAAGAATCCACAGCTCTAAGAGGCCCTCACTTGCCCGAGACAGGAGGGCCTTCTCCTTGCCAGCTCTTCAATCCCTTTCCCACCCAGGCTGTCTTCCTGAGTGTGTGTGTGGTGTGGGGGAGGGAAACTGCCCAGCTGCTGCTCCTCACTGGGTCTTCACACCCCCCCCCCATAGCGCTAAAGGCCACTCAGACGGAGCTGCTGGAGCTGAGGAGGAAATACGATGAGGAGGCTGCATCCAAGTAAGTAAGCTGGGAACCCCTTGTCCCTACACACACACACACACACACACTAAGTGACCTGGACATGCCTTCACCCTCTGTACACACACACACACACACACACACACACACACACACACACACACACACACTAAGTGACCTGGACATGCCTTCACCCTCTGTACACACACACACACACACACACACACACACACACACACACTAAGTGACCTGGACATGCCTTCACCCTCTGTACACATGCACACACACACACACACACACACACACACACACACACACACACGAGGCAGACAGCCTCAGGATAACACACTAATGCACCTTGGGCAGTAGAGGCAGCTGGTGCAGGAAAGGCCTAGAGAGTGTGTGCAGCACAGGTGTGACCAACAGGGTCCCCCAGGTCCCAGAGTGCCACCAAGCTAGGCAGACCTGTCCTGGGGCCCTCAGTGTCAGTGTGGAGCAAATGGTACCACAGTAGACACCTGACCCCCTTAGGGAGTCACAGTGGGCCTCCTGTGTGGAGGAACTAAATAGAGGTACAGTGGGGGACAGCTCCCATGGTGGCTCCCCAGAGGCTGGGGCCCTGAGGGGGTGGGGCTGGCTACCTTCAAGAGGGGTTTTGAGGCCCAGCAGTCAGGATTCTTTTCTTCCCAGTCTGTTTTCTCTCTGGTGGGGAGTGTGGAGTGCAGCCTCCATGGCCCCGAAGCAGAGGTGCAGCCAGGCTGCCAGCCTGTCTCAGGGCCCACCCTTGTGTTACAGGGCAGATGAGGTTGGCCTGATCATGACGAACCTGGAGAAAGCCAACCAGGTGAGCAGTAAGTCCAGCGGGTGGGGGTAAGGGGCTGGGCTGAGGGAGAAGGGCTGGGGGCAGGGGTATATGGGCCCCAGCTCTCTGGCCTTGCCAAGCTCCCTGCAGAAGCACAACACGAAGAGCGAACAACTTTTCACCCACGGATATCCCCATGATCAGCGGGCCTGTCCAGTGACAGGGCATGTGGCGTGGTCATTTTCCTCGGGTCCCTACAGGAGGCCCTGTGCCAGGGGACACTTGGGGCTGGCTTTCAGAGCCTGCCAGCAGAGTCCCTCAGAGAAAAAGCTCGGAGGCCGGTCCCTGTGCGTCCTGATGCCTCTTGAGCCTGAGCTCTAGCCACCGTGGGAGCAGTGTCCCCCGAGAGCCAGGGCAGGGGTGACAGTGGTTTTCCTGAGCTCAGCTCCTGTGGATTTTTGGTGAGCCATCCTGTGGTTGCTGGGAATTGAACTCAGGTCCTTTGGAAGAGCAGGCAGTGCTCGCAACCACTGAGCCATCTCTCGAGCCCCTGGTTGGAGTTTTTGTGTGTTTTGAGACAGGATCAGCTGTATCTCAGACTGGCCTTGAACTGCCATTGTAGCTGAGGATGACCTTGAACTCCTGATCCTCCTGTCTCTACCTTCCCAGTGCTAGGATTGCAGGTGTGTGCCGCCACACCCAATTTATGCTTTATATAAATTGTGCTGGGGGTTCAAAACCAAAGCTTCCTACATGCTGAGCAAACACTGCCAACTGAGCCACACCTCCGGTCGGCTCCTGTACGGGGTTTTGTTGGTTTTGTTGTTGGTGGTTTGTTCTCTCTCTCTCTCTCTCTGTCTCTGTCTGTCTGTCTGTCTCTCTCTGTGTCTCTCTGTCTCTCTCTCTCTCTCTCTCTCTCTGTGTGTGTGTGTGTAACAGCTCTGGCTGTCCTGGAACTTACTCTGTAGACCAGGCTGGCCTTGAACTCACAGAGATCCTCCTGCTTCTGCCTCCTGAGTGCTGGGATTAAAGGCGTGCACCACCACTGTGAAGCTTGTTTTTGGGGGGTTTTAGGGTTGTTTTTTGTTTTGTTTTGTTTTTGGATGGGGTCTCATTGTAGCCCTGGTTGGTCTAGAACTCATTATGTAGACCAGGCAAGCCTTGAACCCCCAGAGGTCTGCCTGCCTCTGGGGCTAGAAGCATCACCATGCCCAGCCTATCTTATAGGTCTAATTAGGTCATTCAGAATTCAATAAAGATGACTCAGCAGATCCTGGGGCACAATTAACCTCAGGCAGACTCCCTCTCACATATTCATGAGCTGACAGAGATCCCCAGTCTACGTTGCTGAAAGTAGGATTACTGGGCAAGGGCTCTATGCCTGCAGGACATGCAAATAGAGCCACTCTGACCTCCAGCCCCTTTGCAGGGGCCAGCCTGGTTGTCTGACAATGAAGCCAGTACCATGTGTGCAAACTTTCAGATCTTTGCCGGTGGCCTGGGCCGGAGGAGAGAAATCATAGCCAGGTGTGATGCTGTACACCTGTGGTAGAAACAGGAAGAGCCAGGAACTCAAGGCCATCCTCAGCTACACAGCGAGTTAAGCCTGGACTAGAGAAGATTCTGGAATAAATAGCCAAGTTGTTTATCCTACATGAGTAGAGTTAAACTCTACCATACCAAAGTACTATGGGCTGTTTTTAAGCACTCCGGCCTCCTCTGATATTTTTAATACCTCCCTTTTGCAAAAGGGAAACCGAGGCCTCAGAAGGGCAAGTGACTCTCCCAGAGGCCTATGAACTGGGGCCACCTCTGCAGATGCCTCCCCTCCCCACCATAGGGCACAGCCTAGCCCCAGTGCCTGAGAACAGACTCAGACCTGAGTATATGACAGGCCGTGTGGGAATGGGTGTAGATGCAGACAGCCTCTGTCTGCCCTTCCCTCCCTGGCAGAAGGATGCTCTCACTTTTGGGGTCCCAGGCACCCAGCATCATCTAGAGATGCCCCTGGCAGCCTCTGCTCTGTAATGCCATCTCACCAGGGAAGCAGAGGGACTGCTGAGGCCGCTCTTTATTGTGTTCAGCTACCAGCTCGGTGACAGTGGGGACAGGCTTCCTAGGTTCAGGACCAATAACCTGGGGACCTAGATCCTTGAAGTCCCAGGATGGTGCAGGCATAGGGGTCCCTGTCGCCTCTCACTTGCTCCCCTCTTCTCCTCTCCAGCGAGCAGAGGCTGCCCAGCGGGAGGTGGAGAGCCTGCGGGAGCAGCTGGCATCGGTCAACAGCTCCATCCGCCTGGCTTGCTGTTCCCCCCAGGGACCCAGTGGGGTAAGGATGGCAGAGCGGCCGAGGGGAAGACCAGAGAAGGCCACATCTCTGCACACAGGGAAAGTGGGTGGCACTTGGGAAGGCGCTGTGGATGTGAGCAGGGACACACAGGGCATCGTTATGGTCAGCCTAGCAAAACTCTGTTACTGCAACCTGTGGTACCAGCAAGGGAACACTGTGTCTTCCCTCACCTTGCCTGGGTATGCTGCGATTGTTCACAGGCTAGAGAGGGTGACGTCCATTGTAAGGTGTGTGCCAAGATTTGGTCAAGGCGACCGAGGTTCAGTGTGGGTGGTGGCCATCAGGAGGTAATGTTGAACACTGGTCTCATATTGTTTGGTGGCTGCTTAGGACCTTGTGGCTCTGATCAGACACTAGAAGAAGACTTAGGGCTTGTACTCAGGCCTTAAGTCCTAAAACGTAAAGGTGACTTCCACGTGTCCTGTTCCTTCCGCCAGCCACATGCTATACAGAGCCTGTCTCGGCTATCAACCCCAAGGTCCCCCGAACAAAGTCAGTCCATCTTTGCCCTTTACCCTTGGGGTCATTGCCTGCCTAAAGATTTTAGTCCCCACCCACCGTTCTGCCCTTATGTCCTCTCTGACCTGCCTCCTTCCTGTGTTTCTGCGTGCCAGGTGGTTAGAGTCCCAGCTCCTTCCATGGTCACAAGGGGGGGCGGTTTATGCCTTCTTAACACCTGGCCCGTTATGTCATAGCACTCCTTCAGTGTGTACACTGGACGGCGTCTCTGTCTGTGGTGACTGTGTGCGCACGCGCAGGCTGAACATGCCTCAGTTTCCTTCCTGCATCTTCCTACCTTACAGGGTCATGGGAAGAGCTGCTTGGCTCACAGAAGATTCTGGGAAATAGCCAATGTTTCTGAGTGATAGCATGCGCGTGTCTTTGGTGGCTCTGCTCATCAGAGCTCATGGTCTCCTACACCTTTTGTGTGCATGTCTGGGATGACATATATCAGTGACTATGGGTCTTTGATGCAAGATGTTTGTTGTGTGTGTGTACGAGAGAGAGAGGGAGGGAGAGGGAGAGAAAGAGAGAGTCCAGGAAGGTACACGTGACTATCCCAGGAGACAGTGTCTTCGGTGATATGCCAGGTGACTGTCCCACAGAAGTGTGTCTAGAGAGCAACGGAGCTTTGTTGGCTGTCTGGGGAGGAGTCGCCAGTGGTTCTTAATTAACCCCCCAGGAACCTGCAAATGGCTAGCCAGCCACAGGGAGCCCGGCTGGTTTGGGAGGCAGTTTTCCTGAGCACAACAGTGGCGCTTGATGCTAATTAATTTAATGTATTAATGGCATCCGCTTCCTGTTTTAATTGGCATTTATCTCCAAGGAAGAAAGCGGGATTAGTAATGGTGGGCTGTTTCGTACATGAAGGGTTTTTTTTGTTGTTGTTGTTGTTTGGTTGGTTGGTTTTTTTTTTATTCCTCCTAAGTATTTCTTAGATTGTGTAACTGAGTCTGAGACTAGCTGACCCAGGTCCCACAGATATTGTCATAGGGACATAGGGGTAGTTTCCAAAACCCCAGATGGGTGACAGGCCTGGGACAAGTCAGGAGAGCCCACAGTAGCATGGCCTGTGGCTGGGATCTCTTTGCTGTAGCCCTGAGGCTCCATGGCTCCCTGGATGGGCCCTTCCCTTGGGGTAGAGCCCAGACGCCCAGACCTGTCTCAGAACCGCTTTACCCCAGTTCCTCCCCGCTCAGCTTTTTTCTTTTCTGTGTGCGCACTTATACGTGTACACGTATGGGCATATATGTGCAAGTTGCCATGTGTGTCAAAGCCAGAGGACAACCTTGGATGCTGCTCCCCAGAGGCCATCCACCTTATTTTCTGAGCTAGATCTCTCACTGGCCTGGACCATGTAGCCTAGGCTAGGCTGGCCAGCTAGTGAGCTCCAGGGATCCAACTGCCTGTACCTGCCCAGCACTGGGCTTACACATGGAGGCCACCACACCCGGCCTTTTCACATGTGCTCTAGAGAGAAATCCCGGCCACCTCCTTAACCAACAGAGGCTTTTTTTTTTCCCCTCGTTTTCTTGAGACAAGGTCCACTGTGGTCATCCTCCTGCCTCTGACTCCAGAGTGCAGAGGTCACCTTCACACCCGGCCATAGTTATACTTTGACAGCAAAGGTTTTGAAGAAAGCTTGGTTTGTGTGAAGGGAACTGTGGAGGCCATACAACAGTATTGGATCACCAGATCCCTTCCGCTTGGGATCCAAGGATGGCATGCCCTGGCTCATCTCCTCAGAGCCACTCACGGCCCACTCTGTCCCCAGGAGAAGGTGAGCTTCGCGCTGTGTTCGGGGCCCCGGCTGGAGGCAGCGCTGGCCTCCAAGGACAGAGAGATCCTGAGGCTGCTGAAGGAGGCGCAGCAGCTGCGACACTCCTTGCAGGAGCTGGAGGAGGCCTCAGCCAACCAGATCGCCGAGCTGGAGCAGCAGCTAGCAGCCAAATCTGAGGCCATAGAGGCAGGTCCCAGGGTGGCCTGGGCGGCGGCAGGCTGGGAGCTCGGGGCCAGCCTCACTGTGCCCATTTGTCTTCTAGAAACTACAAGAAAAGCTGGAGGCCCAGGCTGACTATGAAGAGATTAAAACAGAGCTGAGGTACAGTGCTGAACAGTGCTGGCTGGCACTTTTTGAAGCTCATGACCTCCCCTCCCAGCTTCCCACTACAGATCTCCAGTCAACTCCTGGCCCCGTCAAAACTGGTCCAGTCCAAGCTAGGCATAATGACACATGGCTGTTAGCCCAGCATCCAGGAGGCCGAGGCAGGGGCCTGTCACCTCAGCCTGGGCCTCAGTAAAACAAACTGGTTGTCCTAGTTTAGTCTCTACTGGGTGGTTAAGTGCTAACCGAAACCAACCTGTAGCTTACAGGTTCTAAGCCACTGTCAAGGGAAGCCAGGGCAGGAACCTGGAGGCAGGAGCTGGAGCCGAAGCCATGGAGGATGCTGCTTCCTGGCTTGCTCCCCATGGCTTGTTCAGCCTGCTTTTTTTTAGAGCACCCAGGACCACCAGCCCACTTCAACCATTAATCAAGGAAATGCCTCCACAGACTATAGGCCAATCTCACGGAGACATTTTCTCAATCAAGGTTCCCTCTTCCAATGACTCTAGCTTGTGTCAAGTTGACAGAGAAAGTAGTCAGCACCCTAGGCCTTTTCCAAGATGATGTGGGGATAGTCATGTTGTCAGGTTGTGGAGACTGGGAGCTCACACCAGCCAGATAAGCACAGGCTATGGGGATGGAACATGTTAACAGGGCTGTAACTTCAAGCCTGCAATTGGCACAGCAGACAGTTGCAGTAGACATTGACCCTTGAGGTCTCCAGGGTCAGATGCCTAAGCCCCACCCCCATCCCGACATGATTGTGGTAGTGTACTCCATGGGACCCAGGCACAGCCTCCTGTGACTTCATCATCTCTTCTCCCATGACCCCTAGCACCAGGACCACACATGCCTCCATTCCGGGGGTGGGGTGGGGGTGGGGGTGGGGGGGTGGGGGTGGAGGGGGCACTTTAGTGCTCGGCATAGAGCCCAAGGCAGATCCAAGTTTTGCTTCTTGGAAGTTTCTGAATAACCATGTATCTTATGATTTCCATCCACGTCCTGCTGAAAGCACAAGGCAGGGTTGCTCCATGGCAGAGGGCTTGCGTGGCATGCAGGCGGCCCTGGAGAAGAACGGCGGGGTGTGAGAGGAGAGGAGGCTAGGAGAGAGGGAGGAAGAGGGGGAAGGGAAAGATCAGAGTCCTGACACCTGTAACCCCAACCCTGGGGAGGTGGAGGCAGGAGGACTTGGAGTTCAAGGCCAGTCTCAGCAACATAATGAGTTTGCTTGCGGCTAGCCTGAGCTACATGAGGACCCACAGACCCAAGGTCGCCTTGGGAGAATCTAGCAGCAAAGGCATAAGCAGTCCCTCACATGGGGCCTCTCCTCCTGCTGGGGCCCTCTAACCTCAATCCTCTCTACTCTCTGGCAGCATCTTGAGAGCCATGAAGCTCGCCTCCAGCACCTGCAGCCTCCCACAGGTACATGTCCCCTCCACCATCCCTGTCCCCAAAAGCCAGGCAATCCTGGGCCCGCGCCAGCCATGCCGTCTCAGCCTTGCTTCCCGTCTCCTCAGGCCCTGACCAAGCCAGACGACCCGCTGCTCATGGCCAAGGAGGCTTTCTTTCCCACGCAGAAGTTCCTGCTGGAAAAGCCAGCACTGCTGGCCAGCCCTGGTAGGGGACAGGGGACACCCTGAGGGACACTTGGGCTGGGGTCTGGGCAGGGATGCCCCTGAACTTTGTAACACCCCAGGGCCATTGCCATATATGAGGCAAGCGTGTGAGATAAGAACCTGCTGTGTAGGCCCCCATATTCAAGGTCATGTAGTCCCAAGGCTTCCGATGGCTTCCCTTGATCCTGAGTCCAGCTGGACAGTGGGGCTTTAATAAGAAGGAGTCACAAGGGGGAGGTGGTGGCCCTCACCTTTAATCCCAGTATTCAGGAGGCAGTGAGTTCGAGGCCAGCCTGGTCTACAGAACAAGTTCCAGGACAGCCAGGGCTACACAGAGAAACCCTGTCTGGAAAAATAAAAGCAAACAAACAAACAAAACCGAAAACAGGAGTAACGAGAAGTAGGCGTCCATACCCCACCCACCCCACAGCCCACCCCCCAGGGAATGACCACTGCTTGAAAGGCCTTCTTCCCACAAGTGGCTCACCTTGTGACCCTCCCCAAGAATATAGCAGGCTCATTACTCATCCCTTCACTCCTAAATGGAAAGTGCTGGGGTGGCCTGAGTGATGGAGGCACAGAGGGACATAAGACACCTGCATGGGAGTGAGTCCATCCCTGCTTGCTAGGGTAATGTCCCCAACGGCTGCAGATGGCTCCCACGAACTAGCATCTGAAGGGGGTCCGAGGAGGTGGGGTTTGAGAATGGACGTTTGTGTGGACGTTTATGATCTCTGAGGTCTATAGCCTTTCCTTCTCCCTGTCCCTCCATTACCCCGTTTTTCCTGTCCCTGTCCCTGCTCTCTCTGGACCCACCTCTGTCCCTCTCTCTGTCTCCCTCTCTGGCCATCTCTCTTGCCTCTGCATAACCCTCTCCTCCATTACCACCCGCCTCTCTATCTGTGCTTCTGTCTGTCTGTGCGTCCATCCTGGTGTTCTAGAGGAGGATCCCTCGGAGGATGACTCTATCAAGGGTTCACTGGGCACGGAGCCCTCCTACCCTCAACTTCCACCTCCACCAGGCCTGGAAGACCCACTGTCCCCGAGCCCTGGGCAGCCCCTGCTGGGCTCCAGCCTGGGTCCTGATGGGCCAAGGACTTTCTCACTGTCCCCCTTCTCCAGCCTGGCATCCGGGGAGAGGCTGGCTGGGGACCCATTGCTGCCCAAGCACATAATGGGCCCAGCTGCCTTCAAAGGGGAAGCAGGCAACCTGCTGGCATTCTCACCAGCCTTCTATGGCGGTGCGAAGCATCCCGCCACCTCAGCACTCGGCCCCGAGCCCACGGGGGCCCCAGAGCCCGTGGATGGGGCCGGGCCAGAGGAGGAGCAGCTGGACACGGCCGAGATCGCCTTCCAGGTGAAGGAACAGCTGTTGAAGCATAACATTGGCCAACGTGTGTTCGGTCACTACGTGCTAGGACTGTCGCAGGGCTCGGTGAGTGAGATCCTGGCGCGGCCCAAGCCCTGGCGCAAGCTCACGGTGAAGGGTAAGGAGCCCTTCATCAAGATGAAGCAGTTCCTGTCGGACGAGCAGAATGTGCTGGCCCTGCGCACCATCCAGGTGCGGCAGCGAGGTGAGCCACGAAGCCGCCCCACCACCGCCATGTGTAACCTGGGGTCGGTGAGCTGCTGCCCTGTGGCCACGTGGAGAGGGGAGGGGGGGTAGATGAGCTGCCACCCGTGGACACTTGTAGCCCCGGGGATAGGTGAGCTGCCGCCCAGTGGCCCCATCTGTCAGCTCTCTGGGGAGGGGCTGAAAGGACCCAGAATCTGACCATTGCACCCAGGATGGGTGTCAAGAAGTGTTAGCTGGTCGGGCAGTGATGGCACATGCCTTTAATCCCATCATCCGGCAGAGGCAGGTGAATGTCTGTGAGTTCAAGGCCAGCCACTAGCTCCAGGACAACCAAGGCTGCACAGAGAGACTCTGTCTTTAAAAAAAAAAAAAAAAAAAAAAAAAAAAGAAGGGTTTTAGCTGTTGCCATCATTGCCACAGTCTGTTACTGTTAAGCCAGAGTCCAGCTGGACACATGGCTCAGTGCCAAGCACTGGCCTAGCATGCCCAAAGGCCCTGGGTTCCAACCCCAAAGCCAGAGTTACTATGCCATCTACCATTTGCCACATAGAGTAAGCTGTGGCCCTGCACTCCCCAGGGACAGTCTGGTCCACACCCTCCTGCCCACCTCCAGGGCCTGACACCCCCACCCACAGGCCCCACAGCCGCCACCTTCGTGCCTCCCCCAGGCAGCATCACCCCAAGAATCCGCACACCTGAGACAGGCTCGGATGACGCTATTAAGAGTATCCTGGAGCAGGCCAAGAAGGAGATTGAATCTCAGAAGGGAGGTGAGTAGGCCTCGGCCAGTGACCTCTGACACCTGCCTGCACCTCAAGGCTGCTCTCAGCAAGGGGCAAGGCCCCTGCAGCCACCTGTCATCCCTGAGCATTCCGGGGGCCAGAAGGACCTTTTTGGAGTACAAACAGGGACATGCCACTGCTCAGGTATCTCCCCTGGGCCCCTGATGCTCCCACGATAATGTCCCAGCTATTCAGTAAGACCTTCAGGCCCAGGGTCTTCACACCCCTCCACACCTCTCACGGGACTCCCACCCGGGACATCTAACCAGCTTCCACTCACTTCCTTATGCTTCACGTTTTCAGGGGAGCCCCTGACTTTACCCAGATGGGCTGGGGTGCTGCGCATGCTCTGTCCTCTGTGGCTTAGAGTACTGAGTGCAAGATAGCAGAGTACTGAGTACCTACAGTACTGAGTACAGGCTAGCTGGACATTCTGGCTTTGCTGTTGATTAGCAGTGTGGCCTTGGTGAATTTCTGAGATTTTGAGACCAGCTTGGTCTACAAAGTGAGTTCTAGTTCAGCCAGGTTTTCAAAGAGAAACCCTATCTTGGAAAAAAAAGATCTTCCTAGTCTTTGTTGTGATTCCACAATCAGTAGAATCATGTGCTTGTCTCTGCCACTGGCTTGGGGGCTTCTGCAACCAGGCCCAAGCTACACACTTACACTCTGCTGTGTAGACCTTGGGGACCCTGGATGCTGGGTTCAGAGCTCCCGCCTCACTGAGCAGTGTCTGCTGCCCCCTGGTGGAAGATCCATGCAAGTGTTCCAGTTGCAAAGTCCTATGAGGAAAATGTGTCCCAGACTGCCTTCCTGTGAGGGGCCACAGGAGAGGGACATGCCTTGTGGTCAGGTGTCTACGCCACCCCACTATGTAGTCCTTAGAGCCACTCATGATACATTTTTAAAGCTCCCAATGCATGCTAGACAGGGCTACAGATGTGGATGGGACATAGCAGCAAGGCCTTGAGTCCAGTCTCACGGGCTCTGGGTGCCTGAGGCCACAGTGCTTCCCCCAGGGCCAGGAACAGACGTGGAGAAGTGTTAACGTGGGCAACAGGCCCAGGGAAATGTTCACGCTGAGTACGGGGCCAGCAACAAGAGACGAAGTTACAAGGGTAGGCACAGACCCCCACTCCCACCTCCACAAGCTTGAAACAGCTGGAAAGAGCCACGTGCAGGGCACTAGCCGTCGCCCAGGAGGAACAGAGTATTTGGCCAATTGCTAGCTCCAGCATGCGCTATACAACTTGCTTATGATGGTGACAGGCTAGCCAGGCGGTGGTGGCACATTCCTTTAATCCCAGCACTCGGGAGGCAGAGGCAGGCAGATCTCAGTGAGTTCCAGGCCAGCCAGGCTGTTATACAGAGAAACCCTGTCTCAAAAATAACCGAAGGTTGGGGCGGGGACAGCCTTCCCATCCCAATAAGCAGCCACTCCCCACTTGAGCCTGTTGCTGGACAGTACTTTGAAGTCATGTGACAGGCGCTTCCTGGCTTGCCGTCCTTCACGACCCTTCTTGGTTTTAAATGTTTTTCTAGGTCACAGCTTGTATCCATGCTGTGTTCCTTTTCACGACTGAACACTGTTCTATTACTTTTCACTGGAAAAATATATAATGACTGTGTGGTGGTCCCCAGGATACAGGCTACACAGGAGGGTCATGGAGGAAGGTCATGGTGTCCTGTCTGGCCCAGAGGCAGCACCTAACCATGGCCCTCTCATCTGTGTTCATTCACTTACTCATGTGGGCAGCTGAGCCTCTGGGGACTATGGCCCCCACCCAGTTTAGAGAGCCCTCGTGCCTCTGACCTGGCCCTCCCCTCCCCTCTTCTCCCCTTCCTGGGATAGCTGTCAACCTGGTTTTTTGTTGTTGTTGTTTTTGTTTTTGTTTTTCCTATCATGGCGTTTGCCGTTTGATGACATTTCCCCCTAAATCATGTTGTTTCATTTACTTGCTTGGTGCTTCTTGGAGACATTTTACACTTTCGATGTCTTGTTTTGTTTTTCGTTTTTAATGTGAGACAGGGTTTCTCTCTGTACCGCTGGCTGCCCTGGACCTTGGTCTGTAGACCAGGCTGGCCTGGTACTTGAGCAATCGCCCTGCCTCTGTGAGGTGGGATTAAAGGTGTGCTCCCCACAGCCATCCTGTGGATCACCGTTAGTACTTTGTTTTATGGCCTAGTTTATGTGCTCTGCAGGGAACTCCGGCTCACTGCTGTGTAGTAGTATTCCAGTGTGCCCACACTAATGGTCATTATCTTGTCTTTGGTCTTTGGACATTTGGGTTTCCGCCATGATTTTGCTCTAGAATCCTGGTAAGAACTACCTTCTGCTCTCCTTCTGCCTCTTTCTTGACCTTGAGCCTCTACACGGTGGGTTCACGCCATTCATAAAAGGCGTGGCTTTGGTTTTGACACGGTCTTGCCTCCGTGTTCACTTTTCCCACGTATACTAAGATTTTTGCTATTGGCCTGATTTTTTTTTAAATGAATACCTGCCTAGTATTCCACTAGATTGACCGTTACTTACTTGACCAGTTCCCTATTGTTGGACACAGAGGTTGTCCCCACATTTAGATGGTATAAACACAGATGCTGCTACATATGACTTGGCCCTGATGATGGGCCCATGTCCACCCTGTCACCTTTCCCACAGGTGAGCCCAAGAACTCCACAGCCTCTGTGAGCATCCCCAACGGCACAGCCTCCTCCAGCACCTCCGAAGACGCCATCAAGAACATTCTAGAACAAGCCCGCCGGGAGATGCAAGCCCAGCAGCAGGCCCTGCTGGAGATGGAGTCGGGACCCAGGGGCCGCTCTGTGCCCCCCTCTCCTCCGGAGCGACCCTCACTGGCCACTGTGGGCCAGAATGGGGCCCTGGCCTGCCTGAAGCAAGAAGATAGTGGTGGCGGCTGCAGCAGCAGCAGCAGCAGCAGCAGCAGCAGTGTGCAGGCGCCGCTTGCTGTCCTGTCCCCGGCTGCGTTTGTACAGCGGATCATCCGCAAGGTGAAGTCCGAGATCGGCGATGCCGGCTACTTTGACCACCACTGGGCATCGGACCGCGGCCTGCTCAGCCGTCCCTATGCGTCCGTGTCGCCCTCCCTCTCCTCCTCTTCCTCCAGCTACTCGGGACAGCCCAATGGTAGAGCCTGGCCCCGTGGGGATGAGGCAGCCATCGCCCCTGAGGATGAAGCAGCCATGGGCGAGGATGAGCCCCCCAGAGTGGGAGAACTCAAGGCTGAGGCCGGGGCCCCCGAGGTGGGGGGCGGGCGACTGCCCTACTACCCAGCCTATGTGCCTCGCACCCTCAAGCCCACCGTGCCGCCCCTGACGCCTGAGCAGTACGAGCTGTACATGTACCGGGAGGTGGACACGCTGGAGCTGACCCGCCAGGTCAAAGAGAAGCTGGCCAAGAATGGCATCTGCCAGCGCATCTTTGGGGAAAAGGTACGGGCCACGGGGAACCTGGGAACCCAGGAATAAGGCCCAACGGGGCATTGGGCCTAAGACCTGTAGTCTGAAGGGTGACCGGGTGGGAAGCCACTCCTTAGGAGCCCAGTCAGATGTTTGTCTGGCATCTAGCCGTCCCTGAACACTGGGCCAGTTAGCAGCCAGTCCCCTGCCCTCCACACTCCTCTGGAGGTCCCATGGTCCAGCCCCTAAAGTTTAGGACTCAGCCTAGCCCAGTGCCTTAGTGTCCCCAGCTGGTGTTAGAACATGTGTCTAAATAGCAGAGGTTCAAGGGTTGGTGGTATCACATGCCTTTATTTAATGCCAGCACTTGGAAGGCAGAGGCACACGGAGCTCTGTGAATTTGAGGCCAGCCTGGTCTACAGAGCTAGTATCAGGACAGCTAGGGCTGTTACACAGAAAAACCCTGTCTTGAGAAAACAAAACAAAACAAACAAACAAACAAAAAAAGCAGAGGTTCAAGAAAGGGTCACAAAACCAGAGTTGGGAGAAAAGAAGGAGGTGCAGAGTAGCATCCTGGAGGGGACCATGAACCTTAAGGGTCACATAGGAGTTCTGTGGAGAGCAGGTTCTAAAGGGCCAGGGAGGAGCCAGGAAGGCTACATATAGGATTTGCTAATCTGCCTTCCACCTGTAGGTCCTGGGACTGTCCCAGGGCAGCGTGAGTGACATGCTGTCACGGCCAAAGCCATGGAGCAAGCTGACACAGAAGGGCCGAGAGCCCTTCATCCGCATGCAGCTATGGCTGTCGGACCAGCTGGGCCAGGGCCAGGGCCAGGCCCAGACCCCAACCCAGCAGCCCAGCGCCACGCAGGGTGAGTACTGGGCACAGGGCCTCCACAGGCTCTACCCCAAACCAGTGGGCTTGCTTGTCCCTCTCCTCATCCCCAACACCATTCTACAGCCCTCAGTCTGTCACCCGGGACACGTGTTCTGACCCCACACCTCTGCTCCCTCTGGAAGGAAGTTTCCTCCCAGCAGAAGGCTTGGGCCTAGGCATTTAGAGCAGATGGGACACACACAACCAGTGCAGTCCTGTGCCGCTGCCCCCCCCCCCCCATGATCAAACTTGCCACTCAGGATCTGTCTCAGCACAGACCTGGGCCAGTCAGCTGGTTGGGAATGACATCATGGGCAGGGTGGAGCCTGAACTTAGCAGGGGAAGAAAAGGAGGCCCAGAGAGTCACAGGGCCAGTATGCAGGGCTGCTGGGGTTCTGTGGGTGGCACGTATTTCAGCACATGTGGCTGCAGGCAGGATGGCCCGCCTGCCCCAGAGACCGCAAAGAGGCGATGAGTCTGGCCCAGGACCAGAGCCCACACTTGACAACCCATCGAAGCTGTTTCTACCTTGAGTCACAGAAATAATCAGGACCGCCAGCAGGGTTACAAACCAGAACCGTGTCAGGTGACAGAATCCCAGGTTCCAGGTGACAGGTGACAGTTTCACCTTAGCAACAGGACTAGAGCTCCCTCCTTGTCAATTTGTGGCTACAAAATAAGGACAGGCTATTGGTAGACAGGCAGAAGGCAGGCTATAGACACACAAGCAAAGCAAATGGCAGACATCTGGCAGAGACTGATAGGCAAGAGACACTTGCAGACAGGTAGCAGATAGACAAATCAGGTGGCAGACAGGTAAGCAGCGCTCTGGGGCGGAGGCAGGAGGATTGTGAGTTCAAGGCCAGTGTTTTGCAATGTGTAGAGGCCCACATCTCCAAATGAAATTTTTGAAGAGTTGAGCTATTGTTCATTGGTAGGGTGTTTGCCTAGTATAGCCAGGCACTGGCTCAACTGCCAGTACCATAGGAAAAGGGAAAGCTACATATCATGAGGACCCCTGGACAGGCCATTCTCAGGGTGCACTATGGTGGCTGCAAGATGCCTTGGTTCCAGTATCAGCCCTGACAAGCTATCCTGCCTAGCCACACCCAGGGGCAGTGATTGCCCTACTGTCTCTCCCCTACAGCCAGTCCCACTGAGCAGAGGTCCTCACCGTCACCTCCCCCCAGCCCCATGGAACCTGAAAAGACTTCCCAGGAGCCCCTGGGCCTGTCACTGGAAAGCAGCAAAGAAAACCAACAGCCTGAGAGTCGGGCCAGCTCCTCCCTGGGTGGGAAGCCCTTCTCAGGCAGCCAGGCTGCAGGGGGCATCCAGGAGATGGTGGCCATGTCCCCAGAGCTGGACACATACTCCATCACCAAGCGGGTCAAGGAGGTCCTCACAGACAACAACCTAGGTACGTGCGGGGTGCTGGCTGCAGCCCTAGACGAGCTTTTCCGGGTTTTGAACAAAGTGCCACTGGGACTTTCCGGTGACCTCAGGGCCAGCCTGGAGGTTCAGCCAGTCCTGCGTGTGTAGGACCCCATGCGAGGCACATGACTCTGACCAGGAATGACTCCTGCTGAGGAATGCAGAGAGGTGGCACTTCTTGTCTCTCAAAACTGTGCTGCAGCGGGCCTTGAGCCCCTGTCAGCCACGTCGTGGTGACGCTCACCTTTGACCCCAGCACTTGAGAGGCAGAGGCAGACAGGATCTCCGAGTTCAGCCTGGGCTACAGTGAGTTCTAGGACAGCCTTGTCTCGAAAAACAAACAATGGTGATGTTCATTTATGGGGCCAGAGAGCAGGGTGACACATTCCTCTGAATCACAGATTCCTGCTGGCTCTGTCCCCCACCAGGGACCTGTGTAAACCCAACAACTGTCACTATGGTTTCTATTACAAGAAGAAGACAGCGTTGTCCCAAAATACCCAACATGAACTGGGTGGGCATGGTACTCATTCAGTAATCCTAGGAGGCTGAGGCAGGAGACAGCCACAAATTCAAAGTCTGCCTGGGCTACAGCGCGAGACCTTTACTCAAAGAACAAAAGTTTAAAAAGTCAATAATGAAGACAAGCTCAGTGGTGGTGGCTCACACCTTTAATCCCAGTACTCGGGAGGCAGAGGCAGGTGGATCTCTGTGAGTTTGAGGCCAGCCTGGTCTACAGAGTGAGTTCCAGGACAGCTAGGGCTACACAGAGAAACTCTGTCTGGAAAAAAGAAAGAAAGAAAGGAGGAAAGAAAAAAAAGAAGCAAAAGAAAGGCTAAGCAGATGGTCAGTTGATGAAGGGCCAGAGTTCGAATCCCTGGCTACGTTAAAAACCAAGCATTGGGACTGGAAAGATGGTTCAGTGGTTAATGACACTGGTTGCTCTTCCAGAGGACCCAAGTTCAGCTCCTAGCGCCCACTCATGTAGCTTACAACCATCTATAACTCTGCTCCAGGAATCCAATACCCTCTTCATACCTACTAGGGCACTCGGCATGTAGTGGTGTGCAGACATACATGTGGGCAAACCCCCAGACACATAAATAAAAGCAAACAAAGGTGGTGCACATCTGTAACTCAGTTAAAGTTGGGGCAGAGACAGGCCGATCCCTGGCCAGCTAGGAAATGGTGAGCTCCGGGTCCGGTCAGAAATCCCGTCTCCAAAAACTGAGCTTTAAAGCCATTGAGGAGGACACCCAAGGTTGACCTGTGACCTCCACATGAAGGCAGTTGGAGCCAGGTGTGTCCTGCATCCCTGTCACCAGTACTTGAGAGCCTAGGGCAGGAGGATCACAAGTTTGAGGCTAGCCTCAGCTACCAAGCAAGATTCTTGTCAGAACACACAAAAAGCTACAGGAGTGTCAGAAACAGGAGTAACATGGAGCTTGCCTGACATGCAGGGGGGCCCGGGTTTGACCTGGCACCCTCCCTACAAAAAACAGTTTATAGCCCTGATGCTCTTGGGCAGGGGTCCCTCTAGGCTAGTCCTGAGGGAGAGTATTAATGGGTCAGAGGTCTGACACATTTGAAATTTGGATTGTGCTAGGGTAGCCTGCAGGGGGAAGGGTATGAGCTTGTGTTCAGGACAGGGTGTCTGCTGGCAGTTTGGAGGGGTGGTCCCCTGGGAATGAAAAAAAAACGGTACTAACGGAAAGTCAGTGTTTGTTTTACTGTCCAGTGCCCACCCTCTCCAGTCTCTTGTGTAGAAAGAGTCCCGGGCCAGGCCACCCTCCCTGGCCTGCTCCTCCTCTGCCTCTCCTGGGAGTGGGTGTCTGTGCCTGGCCTGGGGTGACAGTTGCCCTCTGCCCTGTCCCCAGGGCAGCGGTTGTTTGGTGAGAGCATCCTGGGACTGACACAGGGCTCTGTGTCAGACCTGCTGTCCAGGCCCAAGCCCTGGCACAAGCTGAGCTTGAAGGGTCGGGAGCCCTTCGTGCGCATGCAGCTGTGGCTGAGCGACCCCCACAACGTGGAAAGGCTGCGGGACATGAAGAAACTGGAGAAGAAAGGTGAGAGCAGGCTGCGGTGGCCGGATAACCAGGTCGCAGCCACGCTGTGAAAAGCCCCAGATACCCACATCCCCCACCAAAATCGCAGGTGACGGCTCTCATGCTATCCACACATCCAGAGTCCAACCTCAGCTGCACACTGTCCCCGGCTCCCGCTCAGGCCTCCCTCTCTCCTCTACATGAATCCTGTGCCCTTTACCCAGCCTATGTAGCAGAGAGCAGGCCCACCCAGGGCCCCCGTGGTTCCTTCAAGGGTGTGCTCCCCGGAAGCTGGGCAAGTGCTTACCTAGCATTCATGAAGTCCCGGGTTCATTCACCAACACTGCCTAAACCAGTCACCATACTGCACACCTGTAATCCCAGCACCGTTCAGGATGCAGAGGCGGGGTGGGAGTGTGTGTGGGGGGGATCAGAAGTTCAACATCGGCCAGCCTGGGCTGTATGAGACCTTGTCCCAAACAAATCAAAACAAGATACACCTCTTTAGTGGCATCTGGCTGTCTCAGTGAACTTGTGGTGGTGGCCACACCCTTTGGGCATGGTTTTAGGTGCAACCATAACTCATTATAAGGTAAAGGAGGGGCTGGCTTGAGATCGTTTGATAGTGGAAAGCCACTGCACGTGGGCGTGGGTGTGGGCGTAGAACACAGGAGGACAGGGACTGCCACGCCTCACCTCCAATGACCTGAAGGCTCCAGCTACATCCCACTGCTCAAAGTCCCCAACTCCTGACTCAGTGCCACTCACTGGGGCTAAGCCTCTGTCCAGAGCCTTCCTCTGTCCTGCCAGCCAGCTCCTGAATAACCACACAGAGACTCGTATTAATTATGAAAGGTTGGCTGGTAGCTTAGGCTTCTTTCTAACTAGCTCTTACAGCTTAAACTAACCCATTTCTCTTAATCCACTTTCTGCCACGTAGCTTTATTATGGAATCTCCGTATTGCCCATCTTGTCCGCTCAGTGTCTGGCTGGTGACCCTGCCTTCTTCTTCCCAGCATTCTCTCTACCCCCAGAATCCTGCCTTGCTGTTGGCTGTTTAGCTTTCTTATTTAAACCAACCACAGTGGCATATCTTCACACAGTGTAAAGGGACATCCCACAGCAGCCTCTGGAGAACCTTCTAGATCTAAACCACAGCAGAGCTCTTGTTCACATCTTGTTGTGAGGGCCGCGTGCATCCTACAACAAGAGGGTTAATTCAAAGTGGCCCCACACACAGCAAACTGTTCTGAAACTTAGTGGCACTTCTAACAGTCTTGCTGGTCACAGAACGCCCCAATTTGTGCACCCTCTGCCTGCAAGCACCCCCTCATGGTCTCTGGAGTGACTGTGCTCCAGGAACCTTCGAGCAGGAGACCAGCCAGCATCTCAGCAGAGCCAGGGGAGGAGGAACTGGACAGGGCTGGGTGCATGGAGGACTCTGCTGGGCTGGCTGGCCACTGTCCTGTAGTTCTGCCATCCCTGCCAAGTGTGATGTCGATGGCTCCCTCTCTCCCCAGCCTATCTGAAGCGCCGCTATGGGCTCATCAGCACAGGCTCAGACAGTGAGTCTCCGGCCATGCACTCTGAGTGCCCTAGCCCCTGTCAGCAGCCACAGGAGCTGAGCCTCATGCAGGCCAAGAAGCCACGTGTGGTGCTGGCACCTGCAGAGAAGGAGGCGCTGCGGAAGGCCTACCAACTGGAGCCCTACCCATCACAGCAAACCATAGAGCTGCTGTCATTCCAGCTCAACCTCAAGACCAACACCGTCATCAACTGGTTCCACAACTACAGGTAGCCTGGGGGGCACCTGGGTCATGGAGCAGCAGAGGGAGGGCCATGGGCACACACGGGGTCACAGGGGACACAGAGTGTCATAAGGAAGGCAGGGAGGCTTGTGGGAACACCTGATGGTGGTTCAGGCCTGAGGGCTGCAGCTGGATCACAAAGCTATTTCTAGATTCCAACTGTGTCACCTCCAGCTGAGGGACCCTGGGCCCTTCCCTGAGCCCACGGTGCATCCCCCTTGTCAGCCTGACACAGCCACACTGACAGTGTGATTCTAGCATCACCTCCGCTCTGTGCAGTGGCCTCTAGGAAGGAACAGATCAGGCCTGTGAAAAGCCCCAGATACCCACATCCCCCACCAAAATCACAGGTGACGGCTCTCATGCTATCCACACATCCAGAGTCCAACCTCAGCTGCACGCTGTCCCCGGCTCCCACTCAGGCCTCCCTCTCTCCTCAGGCCAAGACCTGAGGCGTCTCCGGCCTCTCCTGCACTGAGGCCAAAGGAACACCTGCCCCAGTGCAGCCTCGGGCATGGTGCTTCCTCCAAGCCTGGCTCCTTTCTTAGGCCTTTCCATTCTGCAGGCCAGGTCCCAGAGGTCCCAAGTGCTGTCTGTGGCTTTGGTGAGGCCACAGAGCTTCCCGAGGCTGGCTTAGGTCCCCCTTCCCCCACCCCCAAGGAGGCTTGATGGGATTGTAAGGATCATCTCTGAGATCCTGCAAGAAATGTCACCAGTGTTCGTGTGGCACTGTGACAGAGTCTGTCCATCCATTCTGGGGCAGAGAGCTCTCCCAAGATCTCCAAGAAGGAAAAGGGGAAACGGACAGGACACATTCCTCTCTTCAACCCTGCATGTTGGCACCACACACACCTGGGCTGCGTGGCCTTTGGAGTCTCATGATGATGCTACAAGATGAGGCGTGTCACTTCCGCCCTGCCAGCAGCGCCGAGATGAAGCAACTGTGGAGTGAGCGGCCTACAGTGGAGCTTGGGCCCTGCAGACCCAGACTAGAGGGCAACAGGAGACATGGGCCCTAACAGCTCTCCCTCCTGAGTGACAATGGGGACCTCATCTCTGTTTCTCATTTCTCACAGGGACTGAGCATTCTGTCATCATACGTTGTGCACAGTGGGCTGGGTTCTAGAGATCAGGGGTCAAAGCCACGCTCCCCGAGCCCAACAAGCACATACATGTCACGGTCTAAGTCATTTCACTGGAGCCTGACTAATCTAGCAAAAGAGAAGGAGTAGGGGCCTTAGGGAAGAGGGCGTCTTGCCTCCAGAAAACTTGAACGAAGAGGTGACATCTGGGGTGGGTTTTGAAAGGTGAATAAGAGCAATCTCTGTGAGTTCAAGGCCAACCTGGTCTACATAGTGAATTTCAAGCCAGCTCGGGCTGCATGATGAGACCCTGTCTCAAAATAGGGGGAAAAAAAGGAAGAAGAAACCCAGGCCTCAGATTCCAAATGAACCACAAGACGGAAGGTGGGGCTGGGTGACGATTAGGAGAGGCCTTGCCTGAACAAGTGATCCCCAGCTCTTCCTTTTTTTTTTTTTAATGCCATGCATTGGGCCATCGGGCTGGCTCAGAGGGCACCGAGCCTCCCGATGACTTTGACAACCTGATCCCCAGGACCCACGAGGCTAGAGGACAGTGACACACACACACACACACACACACACACACACACACACGCACGGGTGTGTATGCACGTACACTGGATAAATAAATGTAATTTAAAATTTTAGAAAGGACACCAGGCCATGTTGGTGGCTCACACCTTTAATCCCAGCACTCGGGAGGCAGAGGCAGAGGCAGGCGGGTCTCTGTGAGTTTGAGGTCAGCCTGGGCTACTGAGCAAGTTCCAGGATGGGCTCCAAAGCTACAGAGAAACCCTGTCTGGGGGGGGTGTCTTAGAAAAGACACCTACACCTGTGATCTCAAAGCTGGGGAGGCACACACAGGAAGCTTGTGGGCTCACTGGCTGATCAGTTGAGCCTGTGTGAGTACCGTCCACTGAGAGAGTGACTGTCTCAAAAAGCTAAAGTGAAGAGTGATTGAGACACCAGACTGACCTCTGACCTTCACGTCCCCCCACAACATATTGAAGAGAGAATAAGGTATATGAGTATTGATGAAGGCTCTTTCCTATTGCTGCGATAAAACATGGACGGAAAGCATCTCTGAGAGGAAAAGGGTACTTTGACTGACACATCGGGTCAGGGTCCGTCATCGAGGGAGGGCAAGGCAGGAGCTGAAGCAGAGTCTATGGGAGGAGCTGCTTACTGGCCTGCAGACCTGGTTGCTCCCCGGCTCATGCTTAGCTTGGTTTTTGATACAACAGACCTTCTTGCCTAGGGATGTGCCTCCCACAGTGGGCTTGGCCCTCCTACATCAATTAACAGTCGAGACAATCTCTCAGAGACACGGTATGGAGCAGTCTGATCAAGGCAGTCTTTCAGATGAGGTTGCCTCTTCCCAGGTTAATTCTAGATCATGTCAATTTGACAATAAAAACTAGCCGCACATCGCCCTGTGTTGACTTCTAGCCTCCTCACCCACACACTCACTCACTCACATACACACAGAAGTCTCCTTTGCACCGGCAGAAGGAAACCTTAATCCTGTTTGCTGAGCACCTAGTCTGTCCCAGGGACTAGAAGGAGAGAGGCAGGCACTGCCCTGATCAGTCGCTGATTAGCTAGCTGCCGAGTTACTCAGCGTGACACTCTACAGTGAGCTCTGGGAAGGAGAGCATGACGGGAAAGTATAGCTGGACCCATGGGCGTTGCCCAGGGCGGTGGGTGAAGTAAAAGCACTGCTCCCAGGGCCTCTCTGGGGTCAGCAGCCCCTGTCAAGCTCCAGACCTTCATCCTTGTCTCTGCCACAGGTCCAGGATGCGTCGTGAGATGCTGGTGGAGGGAACACAGGATGATCCAGACTTGGACCCAGGTGGGGGTCCCGGTGTCCTGCCACCAGGCCACGCCCACATGGACCCCACCCCACAGAGCCCTGACTCAGAGGCTGAGGACCAAAAGCCCCCAATGAAGAGCCTGGAGCTGCAGGAATCTGAGAGTCCCGCACCCGTAGCTGCCCCAGACAGGGCTCTGGTGAGGATTAAACAGGAGGAGGATACAGAGGGGATGGAGGACAGCCAGCCCCTGGATGTAGGGGATCCAGACAGAGGACAAGGCAGTCCTAAAGAGGAGCATACCCACCTTCTGGAGAACAGTGAACTCCCAGAGCTGGCCCCTGGGCCGTTCCTTTCAGACACGCCCAACCCAGACTGCCCCTCATTGCACACCCCCCAAGAAAAGGAGGTTAGGGAGCAGGTTCACTCAGACCCTCTGAGTTTCAAGTCCACCTCCGAATCCTCATGCTGCAGCCTGGAGGAGCCACCAAACTCTCCCTCTGCCATCTCTTCACCAGACCTCATGACATGTGTGTCACCCATCCCCTCCTCCTCATCTCCAATCTCCCCATCCCTACCTGGCGCCCCACCTGCCAAAGTGCCGAGTGCCAGCCCCACTGCCGACACAGCTTCAGCCTTGCACCCCAGCGCCAAGGTAAACCCCAACTTGCAGCGGCGGCATGAGAAAATGGCCAACTTGAACAGTATAATCTACCGACTGGAGAGGGCTGCCAACCGGGAAGAGGCTCTGGAGTGGGAATTCTGAGCCAGGGATGAGGGACATTCCCGGATGGTCACTTTCCCTCCTTCCCTCCCTCTCCCAGATGGGGTGGGACCAGAGAGGCAAGAACTCAGCCATGCAAATGTGGACAGCAGTGTTAAGCCGTTTACGTTTATTGTTGTAACACCAGTTACCTGAAGTTGTGTGTGAGCAGATACCACCACATCTTCTCTTTGACAGCCCTGCTTATAGGAGGCAGTGGGGTCCTGCCCGAGGCAGGACCAAAACGGCACCACATTCTCACCCCCAAAACTCGGAACTCTTTTAGAAAAATAAAGAAATATTTATAGACCTCTTTCAGCTATTTTAATAAAGGATCCTTTGGAATTTATCCCCAGCTGATGCTGTTTTGATATTAAAGAGAGTTATAAAATCAGATGCTGCCACTGCTGCTGTGGAGCAGACACAGAAGCTGTGTCGGGTTTTTTTGCCATGAGATGAGATTAAAAGACAAATGTTCAAAGCCATCACAAAGCGCTCTAAGACGGACCAAATTCAGAGAACCCTTGGACTGTGGGTTTGGTATTCTTTTTTTCCCCCCTACGCCTGTCTGTGAGACACAGCATGCTGCTGCTGCCATTCCAGAACCCGAGTCGCAAAGAGAAAGTCCAAAAGACTCTAAATGAAAACCTCCATGCTGCTGAGGGTGGGACCATGCTGGCTGGCAATCTGTCTGCAGCCTCCTTGTCACAGGAGATCCTGTTGCTGGTGGAAACGGCGCCCTTAGCGAACGTAGTGTACTTCACAAAGGCCTCCACCCCCCCCCCCCCCGAGTTAGAGACCTTCCATGTATAGACAAAGTGTTTCCAGAACCTTCAGAAAGCTGGATGTGGGGGAGGTTCTCAAAGAATGGTGCTTATGTTGGTGACCTTGGCTCCCATCTTGAATGGGGGCCATACTTGGAAGGTTTCTCCTAAGGTCTGAATACGGCCACTCCGCACCAGAAAACCCTGTGGCCTTCCTTCCTTGTTTCTAGAAAAGGAAAAGTGTTGGTGCACCGCAGCCCCCCAAAGGTTAGCAACCAGCTCCAAATCTAGCTCCCTCCAGTCAGAAACCTCAACTCCGTCTCCCACCGTCTTCTCAAGCTGACATCGGTTCATGCCTGGAAAGTGCTCAGGAGCCTAAGGAACTCGGTGAGGTCAAAGTCACCACAACGTGGCCACCAAATCCCTACCTCTCAGTCTAGTTTCCTACGCAAGACCTGCTTGGGATCAAAGATGTAACTCCCCCAACTCAGAAGCAACCTCCCTCCAACGTGCTGATTGGACTCGATGGCCTCTGTGTCATATCGGTGGTTGAGTCCCTCCTGCTTTTATTCCTTTTTGTCCAAACTCTGGAGGCTGAACTGGTGATGATAAATGTGCGGCCATCTCTGTTGCCATTCAGTGCTTGAGGGACAAACAGCTCCTTAATGCAGTGACTATCTTGAAATCGTGTGAGCCAAAAAGTTGGCAACCAGAAATGGAAAAAAAAATAATAATAACGTTCCAGAATTTCTCACTCTCATGCACTCAGCCAGGCTGCACACAGTAGACATCAGGCAAGCCCTGGAAAACCTCTTTTCCACACATAGCCCTGGCTATGCATCGAGAAGTTTTCCACTGTATACATTTTTATCCAGAGGAGGGTATTTTTATATTTTGACACTAGGGAACCATGATGAGTGAGTTTCCAGAAAAATCCATTCTGGGACAAATGAAGCCTGTCTCAGCCTCTGCCGCCTCCGTTACCACACACACCTGCAGGGAGACCCTGCCACTTTTCACCTTGAAACTATATGTTGAGGGGATCCACGCCATACGTCGATGTGACTCAGCTGAGTTCACCGTGGCTTTATTGTGACAGGATTTGGTATGACCTTTGCACACAGAAACATGGGCAGAAGCCCACAGACCTGCAAACAGATCCATCCAGTTCACATCCTACAATGGTTTAAAACTAGAAAACACACCCACACACACACATACACACAAACTGTTTCTATGAGAGATTGATGAACTTTGTCTAAAATTTTACAAAAGGGACATGACATGTTCTGTAAACACGTCCCTAAATACAGAATTGTATAATAATCCTGGGTGTCCATGTTTGTTCTGGAACTGGGGTGCAAGATGGATACAGAATTGGTCCTCAGAGGTGTCATACAAAACAAGGGTTTTGATCTTTTAGTCTTTGTTTTGTAGGGTTTTGGTGGTGGTGTGTTTTGTTTTGTTGTTGCTTTTGGGGTGGTTGAGGCAAGGTTTCTCTATGTAACAGCCCTGGCTGTCCTGGAACTAGCTCTATAGACCAGACTGGCCCCAAACTCACAGAGATCCATCTGCCTCTGCCTCCCGCGTGCTGGGATTAAAGTCATGAGCCATTGTTTTGTTTTTTTAAGACAAGGTCTCACTATATAGCTCTCAATGGCCTGGAATGCATAGAGATTTGCCTGCCTCTGAGTGCTAGGATTAATTTCCTCATTGTTATTAGGGTTCGTGTGGTGTGTGAGTGTGGGCATGTGTGTGGAGATCAGAGTTGATTCTCTCTGTGGATTCCAGGGAATCAAACTTGGGCCGTGAGGCTTACATAGTGAGTGTCTTTACCCACTGAGCTGCCTCACCAGCTCAAACTCATCAGGCTCTTTTGATTGCTTGTTTGTTTACATATTTATCAAGACAGGGGCTCCCTGTATAGCCCTGGTTAGCCTGGAACTGGCTACGTAGACCAGGCTGGCCTGGAACTCAGAAATCTGCCTGCCTCTGCCTCCTGAGTGATAGGATTAAAGGCATGGGCCACCACCATTGGCTATATGATTTGGTTTGGGGACCCAGGCTGCCCTCAGACTCACTTTGTATTAATGGATGACTTTTAACAACTAACTGGTCCTCCCTCCTGAGTGCTGGGATTATAGACGTACATACCACACCCAGCAAATACTGTTTTTTAATTGAGTACCAGCAGTCAAATATGGGGGTTGTCCCTTAAGTACTGCCGAAGCCAACTTCTGAAAATTCTGGCCCACCATCCGTTGTGACAACAGCTATCTGAAGAGTGGTGTCCCTTGCCCATGGCCTGAATGGGTACTGTAGCACCTGATTGGTGACTGAGTGTAGGATCCCAGCTGCTCTGAACACAACCTGGGCCAATGTGGCCCAAAGGCTGGGTGGGTGGACTCTGGGGCATGGGACAATGGGTCAATATTGGACCTTGCTTTTATACCTATGGCCATGAGCCACAACCCTCAGCCAGTCTATAAATGGATCCGGGAATCAGCCTGTACCAAAATGGACCTTCCCCAGACCGGCACAGCACTGCATACTCCCAGATAGTAATGCAGGCCTCAGTTTCCACACCTGTAAAGTGGGGTGTTGCATCAATGACTCATGGTGCATTCTGGGGTGTTGTTTTGGATTGTGTGGAGCACTAGTACACCTGTCCAGTGTCTGAACCAGGAGCTTGACAACCATGTGACTGTCATCTGAAGGTGGGGGTGGGGTCATTTTGTCTGGTGCTTCAAGCATCGCTCAGCCATGAACCAGAGTCACGTGCAGAGGTTCAGATGGTTCACTGGTAAACCCTTCCACACACCCTCTCTGACTCATTATCCCCACTGTGGCTAGGAGGACTTGCCTGAATCCCAGAGGCTGGCTCCTAGGCAGCACAGAGTTGGGGTAGGAAGCTATCCTGTCCCATGAAGGGTGACCTTGCAGGCTGGCCCAGGCATCTCTGCCTGGCTTCCATGCCAGCCCCACTTCTGTGAGCTCAGTTGCCCCGGCTGTAAAGTGGGGGTGGCTACACATTTCCTTACCGGGTAGCTATGAATTGCCAATTACTGGGGACTGGCCATCCTAGTCCCAGGTCACCACTCTTAGGAAGGTTGAGAGATTGATAGGACAAGGTGTTGTATTCCTATTATCTAGCTACTCAAGAAGCTGAAGCAGGGGGATTCCTGAGTCTAGCCATTTGGGAATAGCCTGGACAACAGAGTGATACTTTCTTGAAAATTCAAAACAAAACTGAAACCTAGTCAAAAATCCATATTCTGGGGCCCCTGCAGGGAGTGCAGGTCTCATTTGTCACTTGAGACCCCCAAATGAGCCGGTGTCTTGTCCGCTCTGGGGTCTGGGGTACCTTTGTGAATCACCAGCCTTAGTATTGATGTCATGTCAGCTGTCCCTTGCCCTGAAGTAGAAACTTGCAGAAAAACACCCAACTACGGAATTCTGAGTCGAGGGAGGGAGAGCAGAGGGAGCAGGGTGGACTGAAAAAACCTGGAGGCCTTCCTGGAGGAAGCTGGTTTGGAAAGCTGCAAGAGAGGGCAGTGAGCTGAATGGAGGGTGATTCCACACAGGTTCCTCTCGCTAGCATTTACTTAGTGACTGCAGCTGTTCCTCGCCTCGATAGAGGAACCAGGAGGGAAGAGCATGAGGCATGGGGACCAGAAGTTCTTCATGGAGAGGACACCCTGACAAAATGAACTATGACAAGAGAAGATGGAAAGGGGTCCAGAGGGAACAAATGTAAAGGTATGGTGGGGCTAACGACCCACCAAGAAGAGGCCAAAGGAGCCTACAGGTAAAGGGGAGCATGGGAAGGAGAGAGCGACCTGGCTGAGCAGCTCCATGGGGCATGCTTCCTGAGGGCACTGGGGAGCTGCAGCAGGCACGAGGCAAGGGATGTTGCAATTGGATTTGCACTTTTAGTTAGGTGAGTCCATTTGCCTGCCCTGACTTATCCCCCACCCCCTTTCGGCTGGTTTAGTGCCTTCCATTCAGTGAGGAACCCCAATGAATGACTATGCGCTCCCTCCCCTCCCCCACCCACCCCAGCTGGGTCCAGCTTTCTTTTCTTTCTTTCTTTCTTTCTTTTTTTTTTTTTTTTTTTTTTTTTTTTTTTTTTTTTTTTTTGAGACAGGGTTTCTCTGTGTAGCCTTGGCTGTCCTGGAACTTGCTCTGTAGACCAGGTTGGATTAAAGGCATGTATGTGTGCCACCACTGCCCTGGCTAGGTCCATCTTTCAAAAGCTTGGCTCTCTACAGCCTTGGTGGAGTTAGTTACTATAGAAACCAGGCCTTCACAGTACCCAGATGCTGAAGCTACCCCAAGACCCAAGAGCAGCAGGGCTGGGTAGAAGTGACTTTGTTGAAGGCGACCCACTGGGGAGCTAGCCTGTGACCTTAGCCTGAGAGTGACCCCCTCAGGGACTAGCCTGAGGCACCCACAGGCTAGCCTTACAGCCAGGCAGCCAGGCCTGTGTTGGTTTCTCCCGCATCAGGTACCTAGGACTCCATTTCCTCATCTGTGAAATGGCTGTGACTGGAGACCAGTGCTTGATACTGTTTGAAGCTCCCAGCCCTGAATGCTTGTCCCGCAGCCTTGAGGCATGAGTCAGACTTCCATCCCTGTGGGCCCAGAGTGTGGCCCAGAAGTTACCAGGCAAGGGTCTGGAAGCACTCAGCCGGCCACCCAGTGTGGCCGCCCCTTTTCACCACCCTAAGCCTGGACATCCCAGCCATCTTCGTCTGTTGAGATCACAAGGCCCACAGGTATGCATCCCCTCCCCTGGTAGATTTGCTGGCATGTGGCTGTGGTCAATAGTGCTGCTGTGAACAAATACGCATGCCAGGATCCTCTCACAGACCTCTGAAGAGCAGTCAGTGGCCTTAGGGCTGAGCCATCTCTCCAGCCCCACCCCACCCCCATGGTTCTGCCTTTAACTGAGGAGCTGTCCATGTACTAGGGGACCATCCCTCCACATTCCCGCCATTGACCTGGGTCACTTTGTTCATAGCTGTCTGAAGGTCACTGGGTGATCCCACTCTCATCTCATTGGCCAATTCTGGGCGGGGGGCGGGGCTGTCCTTTGGCAGTCAAAAGGCAGCAGCATGGCTGATCCAGGTGAATGAATCACCTGGGGTGGGTGGATGCTGGGCAATGGTAACCTCTGGCCTGAGTGTCCCTCCATCCCCAGTGGCTTCTTAGAATAGTCCTGACCACATAGTGCCTCTAGATCTGTGTGTGCCCTGCACATCACCCCTATCACTAGCAGGAGGCCAGATAGGCATGTCGGCATTGACTAACTGCTCCCAAGGCCATCTGTCCCTCCAAGGAGCATTTTGGTAAGGTCACACCTGTGACCCTGCCTCTACTATTTCCCCACTCCTGTGCCCAGCAGGGACTTTGGTCATCAGTGCCCTGACTCAATTCCCACAGTCAGCTATGGCCCCAAAGCAGGGGAGGGAGGGGACTCAGCATGTGCTACAGACTCAGGAGCACATGGTCCTAGGACCTTGATGCTTTTTCGGGGGAGAGGGGTTTCAAGACAGGGTTTCCTTGTCTAGCCCTGGCTGTCCTGGAACCCACTCTGTAGACCAGGCTGGCCTTGAACTCAGAGATCCACCTGTCTCTGCCTCCTGAGTGCCGGGATCAAAGATGTATGCCATCACCACCACCCAGTGACCTTGATGCTCTGTTTTGTGAACTTAAAAACATGACTTCTTCGGGTTGCTCAGTTCACTGTGAAGCCAAATGTTCCAGAAGGTACTTAATTTTTCCAGGCTGCTAGTGAGAACTGCAGCACATCCTGAGTCTACATTTGGAAGATTCTGGGCCTCAACCACCATGCTGGGCCACCCTAGGCCTGCCCCTTCCCTTCTGTAAAGCCCCCCAGCATTCACAGCAGACATTATTGCCTTAGAGCAGGTACACAGATGATTGTAGACAGTGTCCTAGTCTAAGCCATCTTCCACAGGGTGATGGTGGCACATGCCTTCAACCCCAGCACAGCAGACATTACTAATCAGTTACAGACTCTCTCAATTTTCATAGGGCCAGGATCCTCTGCAGTCAACCCCTGAGTGACCAGGAACAGGCCAGTAAGGAGGGCCATGGTTTTGCTGTTGAGATGGTCTCACTGTGTAGCCCAGGCTGGTCTCCAGCTAGAGCGCTTCCTGCCTCAGCCTTGATTGCTGGGACAGGTTGTGTACTAGCATCAGGCTTGAACCCTTTCCCATCCCACCCGACTCTCAGGTGACTGGCCTGCCCACATGTCAGTCATCTGCCCATCTTTTATTACGCCCTGTGGTCCTCCATGTACCTCCTGAGGGCACCACCAGCCACAGTGTCAGAGGTTGACATCCCAGCTGACACTCCAGCTGTGTGGCCTTGGCAACCTCTTTGAGCCTTCACACACACACACACACACTCATATGATGAGGCCAGTGTCTTCCCTAGGAGGTGACGGGACTGCCTGGCTGAAGGGTACAGTCATCTCCCATCTAGGGCCCATGGGGCATACCATGTGTGGATTCTGTGGGGAGGAAAATAATACAAGCAACCATTACTTGACACAGCTTTTATTTTGGCCCTTGTACCCTGTCCATGACTAACATCTCTCTTAGCTCTAGAATCAGCTGGACTTGATCTTTGTGCTTTGGGAAAAGCGGGCATCACTCCCCCTACCCCGTACCTTTAGTTTGTAAACCCAGACTAGAGTCTACGCCTCAGCCCTCCCTCCGTAAGACCTGAGCTCCACCCAGTGGGACAGTGAAGACAGGGACCAAGTCCCCAGAGGCACCTGTGCAGACAGCAGAGTTCAGGGGACAGAGTGAGAGGTGAAGGCCAAGTCAGCTAGGTGACGGCATGTCTGTCTCCTGCTAGGGCTGGGCTCCCTGGGGACAATGCCATCCCTTCCCACCAGCAGCCAACAGTAATCTAAACTTCACTTCACTGCTAAAAAAAAAAAAAAAAAAAAAAAAAGCAATACCTTATATACTTAAAAGTAAAACCCACAGCCATGCCCCTGCCCCTGAGCCAGCAGGGAGCCAAGAGGGCCTGGTGACAGATATACCTTCAGAACCCCGACCCAGGGCCTCCTGGGACAGAGGATTGGGGCCAGGGTGAAATCTGTCCATCTGATTGCGGAGATTGGAGTGACAGTGTCCTCCAGTCCCCAGGGCTCGGCCCTGAGGAGGACTGTAAACAAGACCCAGGTAGGGCGGGCTGCCCTGCCCAGCACTTTGGAAGAGAGCCAGCATGGTGGACCCAGCAGGGAGGCCCACTGGTTATCCAGGTGGTGGGAGCAGCAGCTGCCTGGGCTCTCCCCCTGCAGGCATGGAATCAGCCGCAGGTGTCTGTCTCCTCCAGGTGAACCTTCGAGGAAGCTAGGCCACAGCCCAGGAAGGAGGTTGGGTGGCTCTCAAAGGCCCTGCAGAGCCAAGGCCGGGCAAAGTCCTGCCTCAGCTGGTTCCAAGCCAGGGACAGGGGGACCTATCCAGTTTAAGCTCCACCTTCTACCTGCTGCTTCAGGCCTACCCAGGTGAGCAGCCCAGGAAGCAGCTACCAGGCCCAGGCCTCCCGATTGCGGTGAGGCCCAGCACCAGATATACCCTGGGCCCCATGCTGTGGCCAGCCCCAGGGTTGTCCTGGGACAGAAGGCCTGTGGCCAGCCCCAGGTCTGTCCTGGGGCAGAGTTGCCTAGAAACCAGTTCCTTGAGCTTTTGAAGCATGTTCAGGTCCCAGGTTCTTCTTAGCAGTAACTGCCACTGATCCCAGAGGTCTTCTGGTAATATGTCCTATGTCCCCTGAAAGCCTGGCTCCGAGTCCAACCCGTACTGTACTTAGGGCCTTCTGTACTCAGGCTTCCCTCACAGCCAGTAGGCCCCTTAAGGCTGGTCCTGGGTATGAGTCCCACCAGAGCTAGAAGGATGCCAGACCTCCAGGCCAGCTAGGTCAGCCTGGCCTCCACGCCACTGGCTCCTGAGGGCCTGCACCTCCAATCCATATCGCTCATGCAGCTGGGCGAAGGATACCAAGGGCCCATTGGGTGCAGAGGCCCTGCGACGGGGTGGCAGCGGTGGGCGCTTGGGGGCTGCAGTGGGTTCTTCGGGCAGAGCGCTCCATACTGCCCGGCCATTCTCCTTGGGTCGCGGGTTCGAGACCGGACTTGGGTGGACCGGCAAGGCGTTGGCAGGGCTTCCCTCCCGCATGGCTGCCAGCTGCTGCTCCAACTCACGCACCACCAAGCGCAGGTAGTGGAAGCTGGCTCGAGATAGCGCCTTCACCCAGCCCTCCAGGGCTTCCTGGCTGTCGGCTGCCAGCACATAAGGCCGAGAACGACCGCCAGCAAAGTGCACGGCAAAGGCAAACTCCTCCCGGGCATCCACCAGCTCCACCGTGCAACCCTCCAGCAGGATGACACCCAGCGGCTCGCGGCTGGCCTCCGACTCGAAGTAGAAGAGCATGTTGCCACGAAGCACGAACCAGCGCCGGTGCGAGCCGGCCCCTCGCCCACCACGCTTGTGCAGGAAGCCAGCATTGTCCACCGGTGCATCGCAGGTCGCGTAGAAGGCGAGACTTCGCTCATTCAGCTTCATGGCCGCAAGGCCTTTGCTGGTCCCCTGCATCAGAGCTGATGTTACTCCTAAGATCACCAACTCCCAGAGCACACCCACCCCAGGCCCCCAGTGAGCACAGGGAGACAGGACTAAAACCCAAGTCTCACAAGGCCACTCGGAGCCCTCCTGCTGCCCTTGACTCAGGAAAGAACATTAGGCATTCAGAACTCTCTGGACACTTAGCACAGGTTAGCTCCATGTGGCAATGTTTGCATCGTGTGTAGTTGGGGGAAACAGGCACATTGAGGAACTAGCCACAACGCCAAGGTCACAAAGCAAGTTGGCTAGAGCCTTTGCTGGTCCCTGGAGGTCCCGGCTCTGTGGCTCAGCCTGGGTCTGGAGGTCAGGCTGGTGAGAGAGGGAGCTATGAAGAGCGTGGCAGGTGGGCAAACAGTAAAGACAAGGTCCTGTGGTGAAAACTACTGCTGTGAGGAAAACTACCAGAGGAGGGTAGGAAGGGAGGAAAACACACTCAGAGTGGTGAAGTAACTTAGAAATGACCTATATAAAATGTGGGCTCAGCCCAGACTGACCTGGAGGGAGGGACAGAGCACTTGAACTCACACCTCCCAAAAGGTACACAGTGGGGCAGCGGTGGGTAGTAGGACTTATCAGGAGGTGGCACACAGGTTACCAGTGTGGCCACTTGGAGGAGGTCCTGCACCCTGAGGTCCCCAGCACAGCCTGACCTTGCTCTCAGATGGCAGCCATACTTTTCAAGAGGCGTCTGTAAAGAGCCTGGAATGCAGTAGGCACTCAGCTAGTCTACCCGCTTCTGCCTGGGTGGCAGGCCCCAGAGTCAGGAGGAATAAGGTCTGGGTGGTGGCTCTGCGGGGCCACCTGACAGGTAGAGGGAGAAACGGCTGTCAAACAACTACTTATTTTCATGCCACCGCATGCCACCCACACTGAAGTCAGGGACAGCTTCCTGCTGAGCGAGAGACTGAGACCTGCTTGTCCCAACAGAGGGAGGGAGTCAGCCCCTGAAGGTTCTAGTGTATTTAGTGCCCACTGCCTCCCTGTGCTGTATGGCATCCCTTTCTCTCTCTCTCTTTTGAGGCAGAGTTTCTCTATGTAGCCCTGGCTGTCTTGGAACTCACTCTGTAGACCAGGCTGGCCTCAAACTCACAGAGATCCACCTGCCTCTGCCTCCCCAATGCTGGGATTAAAGACATGCACCACCACTGCCCGGCCCAGCTGTCCCTCTCTAAGCCTGTTTCTCTCTGCATAAGTGACTTGTGCATCCTTCCCAAGACAGTTCCTTGTGCCCACCGTGCTCTGCTTGCTCACTGGGGTCACAGGTCAGCTCAGTCCCCAGGATTGGTCACCTCTATGCACACAGTCAGCCTCTCTGGACCTCTAGTTCTCCATCTATAAAATGAGAACAGAACGGTCTAAGTCAAGGTTATGGCAATGAGACCGGGGCTCAGGGAACCAGGCCCTCTGCCATGGTCGCTGTAGTGAGTGTACTTGGTGTCCCTCTAGTGGGTCCTGTCTCAGTGAATGACCCCTGGTGGCACTCTCCCCACCCCACTTCCCCTCCCCCACTCAGTCTTCCAAAGCCACAGATGTTTAACTCCCCTATCTCTAGGTCTGTATCTATGTTTGCTGGAACCAGCGCAGGAGCCTCAGCAGCCCTCCCTGCCTCCACCTTTGCTCCTTTCTACCCTGTACCTCAAGGTAAGAACACCTCCCTAGGGCCCTCCCCTGGGCCCACAAAGGGGCCCTTATCTCCCATAACTTCTACCCAGTCTCAGTCCCCACCCCACACCATCTCAGCTCCGTTCCCAACCTCTGCCTGACTTTGTCACCAAACCTCAGCCACTCTGGCTTCCTTTGTGTCCCTCAAATGCACCAGACACTTTCTTGTATCAGGACCTTTGCCCTGGCTGTTACTCTGTGCCTGGGATGCCCTTCCTTACCACATGGCAGGGTTCACCACTGTCTAGGGGTTGGCATCCTCCATCCATCCAACCACAAGAGACCACCGGGCATTGTACTACATCCCAGCTGAAAATCACCTGGGTCATTCATGCCTGCTCCAGGAGGGGAGGGGTTTTCTGTCTGGATTTGAGAACCCGGTGTGTAGCAGGTGCTCTTGGGAGCCTACAGGACAAAGCAAACCTTTGTCAACATGAGGGCCCTGTGACAAGGGGTGGTCCCTGTCCCATGCTCATGGCCCAAGCACAGGGCTCAGAGCAAACTACCCAAGTGGGGCACTAACCGCACTAAGACTGACAAGAACTTGCCTGGTGTCCATCAAGCCACCCACCCTGACTGCTCAGATGGGGCCACCCTAGCGCAAGGTCACCAGTAGACAGAAAGCCCAGCCAGGTCCCTGGCCCTTGCCTGCTCCAGCTAAGCAAAGAAAATGAGTCTGAGAGACAGGCTCTGGCTTCTCCTGGAGGGAGCAACTGCTCCCCATTTTACAACCACCCCGTTCTCTCTAAGTCCAGAGTCTGCTGAGGGCACCGCACTAATGAATCAACAGGGCCTAGGCACGATGCTTTAGGAACCAAATTCCTGCCCAAGTTGGTCCAGCATGGACGGCCAGTCATGGCCGCTTCCCAGACCTCAGTAGCCTCAGTGGGCTTCAAGGAGGCTCAGAAGATGAAAATAAGGAAAGTCTGTGACTAACTACAGGGAAAGTATTCTAAAGTAGGCAAAAGCACCCAACGTGGTGGCTCACACCTGTCATTCCAGCACATGGGAGGCAGAGGCCAGCCTGAGCTATATAGCAAGACCCTGTTTAAAAACAAACAAACAAACAAACAAACAAACAAAGGCACATGCCACATATGTTGAGGCCAGCCTGAGCTATATAGCAAGACCCTGTTTAAAAACAAACAAACAAACAAACAAACAAACAAAGGCACATGCCACATATGTTGACATATACCTTTGATCCCAGCACCGGATGCAAAGGCAGATGGGATCTCTGTGAGTTAGAGGCTAGCCTGTTGTACATACCTGAGCTACAAAGTCTCAAGACTGTCTCAAAACAACAACAACAAAACCCATAAAAAGGCAGGGCTGGCAAAACAGTTCAGCGGATAAAGATGCTTGCCCCCAAGCTGCCTTAACTGAGTTCGATGACCAGAAACCACATGGTAGAAGCAAAGAACCGACTCCCGCAAGCTGTCCTCTGACCTCCACACACGCGTACACGTAAACAAAAATAAATACTAGGAAATTAAGGACAAGTGATGGGCCCACCATTCGAGGGATAATGGCTGGCTCCTGAGCTAGGACTCAAGAGAAACTGAGGCAGGGCACCACCGCAGAACCGCAAGCCTGGGCAGTGTGCGGCCCGGCCACGATGGAGGCCGCGGGCGGGTCCCGTGCGATGGCCGCGCGGATCCCGTCCCTGTCGCCATCCCCGCCCGCCCGGTCTCACCTGGCTGCGGGTCTGGAGCAACGGTCTATCCGTCCCATGGCCCAGAACCGCTTGAAGGGCGGTGGCAAGCGGACGCTTTGTCTCCCCGAAGCCGAGCTGCGGCGACCCGCGGGCGCCCCTTTAACCCTGAGCGGCCCCGCCCTGGAGGGGCCCGCCCTGAGCTGTACACACCAGCCCATTGGCCAGTCCCCACAGGCCCCGCCTCCGGGTTCGCCACGCCTCCACGCGCAAGCCTGAAAACCACTCTTAAAGGGACCTCGCTGGTGCCAGGTGTCACCAGCGTTCTGTCCTAGAAAAAGTCTAAGGATTTGAGCTGAGGAAAAATTAAGCCTACTATGGCACAAGTGTGTTCACACACAAACACACACAGGAAGAAAGGAGAGCTGGGTGTGCTAGTGCAGACCTTTAATTCCATCACTCAGGAGCCAGAGACAAGTGGATCTCTGTGAGTTCAAGGCCAGCCTGGACTACATATCCAGTTCCAGGCTAGCCGGGACTTCCATAAGGAAACCCTATCCTTAAAAGAAAAGAAAAAGTTTAACCCATGGCGTTTCCAGACAAAATCAACACAGGTCTGTTGTAAATGTGCAAGACACCAAGCCATCAGCACACTTGCCCCAGGTGGTGGTGAGGAAAAGTTCTAGAAGTGAGCAGACTGCATGCTCTCCCAACAGAAACTCGGCATCTCTGGGCTTCCATGTCTTGCCCGCAAAATATAAAGACAAGTGTAATATTTACAGGGCATGACTCAACAGCAGGCGTTCTTAGTAGGAATTGCCGGAGTTTTACTTTTTTCCCTCCTCTTCCCAAAATAACACAGTTCCACCTCCCAGAATCCTTCACTTCCGTTCTATCTGCCTCCTCCTCACTTCCTTCTACCTTCCCACCCCGAGACCTCCTTGGCCTGAGGACAAGAACAAAACAGGACAGATAAGGATCCCTGCTTCTTTCCATACTCTCTCTCCAGTACCTACTGTGTGCAGTCGGATCCAGACAGAAACCGTCAGGTGTCAACCGACAGACAGTTCTGAAAGTGTGTGGCGTGAGGGACAGAATAGGCAAGAGTGGGAGGGAGAGCAGCAGCTAAGACAAATTCTCTGGAATTGCCACTGACCTGGCACTGAGCCATGACTTGGCAGCATGTGTGAGAGCCCTGGGGTGACCTGCAGGAAGGGTGTCCCAAAGGGCCCAGATGAGGGCAGTGTACAAGGGGGGGGGACAAAGAAGTTGCCTCGTTGCATAGGACCCTGTGAAGTTGGGGGAAATGTTGCTTTCAGGCATGCATGGCAGCGCCCACTTGTAATTCCAGCAGTCAGGAGGCAGAGGCAGAAGGTAGCTGCAAAGCCACAGCTGCATAGCAAGTCCCTGTCTCACAAAAATAATAATTAGTGTAGTAGACCAGGCTGTCCTTGACCTCGCAGAGAGCATGTCTGCCTTCCCACTTGGGGGGATTAGTAGCATGATGTCCGGCCCGGAGGATTTTGAGCTGGGATGCAATCTTTAGGGGGCAGTAGGACAAGAGGGAAGGCTTGGAGGCCAAGCATGAGCCTACTGCAGTGAACCGAGTGAGTGGTGAGGGCAACTTGAAGGTCAGTGGGACAGAAGTGGGGAGTGGGTGAGTTTCATGTCTGTTTTCGAGATGTATGCACACTTGGTTGATGGCTTCTGGGTGGAGTATGAGAGACCCGGGAAAGGAGTAATGGGCAAAATGGGAGAGCCTGGAAGGGAAGGGAGAGTCTAGAGCAGCTGTCACCAAACTGAACTGGAGTCAGCAGGGATCCATGGTGAAAACTGAAGCCCACTCTACCTCACACCACAGACCTCAACATGAGAGCGGCCATGGGAGGGAAAGCTCTAGGGGCCCTGAAGGTGGAGCCCACTGGGCATGCGTGGGGCCTGGTGAGATTCCCAGGCAGGGAGGGGTGGCCCAGCCTTCCTGAGGGAGGAAGGGAGACAGGGAAGTCCTTAACTGTGCAATCAGTGGTCAGTGGTTGATCATCATCAGTCAGTCGTCAGTGGTCCTCAGTCTGTCTGGTCAGTCAGTTGTTACTCTGCCTGTCATCGTGAGTTGTCGGTCCTCACCTCGTCAGTCACCATCAGTCAGTCCACCCCCAGCCTAGACTGCATGCATGAGCTTCCATTCCCAGCACCATCATAAAAGGGAGATTTAGTCCCCACTTCCCACACGTGGATTTGCAGACTCCGGGGTGTCCACTCCTCTCCATACATTTCTCTCTCCAGGGCTCAAGGCCAGTTCATTTGGCAGCTGAAGTTGGCATCTCCATCCTTTTCACGACTGAGTAATGGCTCATCGTTGGCATGGAATGCAGAATGCATTTTGCTTATCTGCCCATGCACTGAGGGGCCTTAGGCCGTCTCCAGTAGTAAAAGGCCAGTACATTTGTGGCTGGGGTTGAAGATGGGTAGGAGGGACTATGAATAAGGAACACGAGAGAGGGGAATTTGGGAACCTCCACTGTGGGACTGTGGCCAAAGATATGGTTTTGCCTCCAAACCACGTCTCAAATCCAGCACGCCTCCATCTCTGCAGCCTCTGCAGCCACTTCCCCATCTCAACACTGTCAACCCCTCTTCAGGACACCAGGGTCCTTCAACTCTCCTCCTCGGACCCGCTGGGCTCTAGACTCCCTTCTCACCAGCAGCTTCAGGGCTCCTTTTGCAGCTTGCCTCAGAACAAATCCTGCCATTCTCTTGGTCACAGGCAGTCATGGCTCCTCATCACCTCAGGACCAAGCCCAGAGCGTTTCCTGCCCACCGCAAAGCATTCCTTGCATTGGCCCTGGCCACTCCTTCCGCTACCTCTGCTACCTGCCCTGCTGTGTGTTCCAGAATGGACTGTGCGCCAGACCTCTTCCTGTCTGCTGTTCCAGAAGACTCCCCACACCCTCGGAGACTTGGCTGCCCATTCTGATGCCTGAGGCTTCACTGAGCACTTCCTCTTCAAGGAGGCAGATGACTCCCAGCTCTTTTTACTGATCAGTACCTTCCTTCCTTCCAGTCATTCACTCAGCCTTTAAAGAGCTGCTGTCCTAGGTACTCAGGAAAAGGGGTTTTTTGTTTGTTTGTTTGTTTGTTTGTTTGTTTTTTAAATAAGGGCCAGGTGGTAGTGGCACGAGCCTTTAATCCCAGCACCAGGCAGAGGCAGAGGCAGGTGGATCTCTATGAGTTCGAGGCCAGCCTGGTGTACAGAGTGAGTTCCAGGACAGCCAGGGAACACAGAGAGACCCTGTCTAAAAGGGAAGGAAGACTCGTGTTCTTTCTCGAATGTCCTGTGTTACAGGCTTCGCAGCCATGTCACCAAATCCTCACAAACACTGTTTGAGACGATGTCCTGGCTAGTTTTATGTCAACTTGATATGAGCTAGAGTCATCTGAAAGGAGAAAATCACAATTGGAGAAAAATGCCTCCATAAGATCCAGCTGTGGGGCACTTTCTTAATTAGTGATCAGTGGGGGAGGGCTGATGGTCCTGGGTGCTGTAAGAAAGCAGGCTGCCTTAGGGACAGTGGTGGTACACACCTTTAGTCCCAGCACTCAGAAGGCAAAGGGAAGCAGATCTCAGTGAATTGGAGACCAACCTGGTCTGGTCTACAAAGTAAGTTTCAGGACAGTCAAGACTGTTATATAGAGAAACCCTGGAGAGAGAGAGAGAGAGAGAGAGAGAGAGAGAGAGAGAGAGAGAGAGAGAGAGAGAGAGGAAGCAGGCTGAGCAAGCTAATAAGTAGCTCCCCTCCTTGGCCTCTGCATCGGCTCCTGCCTCCAGGTCCCGCTCTGCTTGAGTTCCTGTCCTGACTTCTTTTAGTGATGGGCTAAGATGTGGAAATATAAACACAATCAGTCCTCCCCTCCCCAGCTTTTTTCTGGTTGTGGTTCTCCACCGCAGCCATAGCGACCCTGTGTGGGACAGGGTAAGGAAACTGAGGCTTACGGAGGTCACAGACCTCAGGCTGCTTTCACAAGCCTGGGCTTTAAGGTCATCAGCTTTCAACACTGACCAGCCTGACATTTTGCCTCTGCGTTTTCATTGCTGCTATTGGGGTTTGTCCCTGCTGAGGGTGAACCCAAGGCCCCATTTATACAAAGGTGATCGCTGTAGCACCAGGCTGCACCCCGAGGCCTCTACACAGCTGTCAAAAGGAATGGAGTGTGACAAGTTGCTGCAGCATGGATGATCTCTTAAAAGAAAGCAGACATACAAAAGCCACGTGTGACTCTGCACCAAGTACCAGCCTCTTACTGGGAACTCGAGGGCTCAGATAATAGACCAGCACTGTTTTCCCAGGAAGTCAGGTAAGGGAATGAATCCTGCATAAGAGACAAGGCTACCCTCTGTCAGAGAAAGCCACACCCCTAGGGAGCTAGGGCTATCTTTATAGGTGGAGGTCACACTTCAGGTGGCATTAAAAGGTGTGTAGGAATTTCCCGAGCAGAAGCAAGGGTAAGGCAATGGAAAGCAAACAGTCTGGGAGAACAGGCCGGGGCATGGGTGTCCCGTGGTTACTGGTGAGAGATGAGGTTGCTGAGGCTGAGGTAATGGGGAGCTGTGGAGGGTTTTAGAGTGTGTTCTGGGAGCACACCAGACTGGTGCCTTGCAAATAATTGATAATAACAATATAGTAGCACTTATTGAGCACTTCCTGCGTAACAGACTGACACATGAAATCTCTGACTTGGTTTTCACTATAGTCCAATCAAGTAGAGTTATGTATTTTTTTTTTTTTTTTTTTTTTTTTTTTTTTACTTACTTGTGGTTTTGTTCTGTTTCGGTAGGGTCTCACTGGGCTGGCCTGGGCTCACTGTGTAGATCAGGCTGGCCTCAGAATCACAGAGATCCACCTGCTTCTGCCTCCTGAGTGCAGGGATTAAAGTTGTACGCCATCATGCTATGCTTAGGGTTATTCCTTATCCTTTTTTTTTTTTTTTTTGGATTAAGAAATGAAGGCGAGAAGATCCTAAGTCGCTTGCTGGGGGCATGGCCAGTGGTAGACTGCTTTCCTAGCCCATGAGAGGCCCTGCGATCCATCCCCAGTATTGAGAGTGACAGAGATACC